TTATATTGTTCTTAGTCTATTTATTTTGTTAACTGCCTGGTAATTTATTATTATAATATAATATAATATATGATAATGTAATGAGCGACAAGGAGAATCGTTTTATTATACCATATTATACATGCCAAAGTATCGCAAATATATGTCAGTTATGCTCTCATACCTAACCCACTAAACAGAGTTGAGTTGAGATAGGCTATAAGTTGCTATTATTGTGATAAATAGATTGTACGGATGTTCGTAATTGTTAAAAATAAAATCGTGCAACTTTATTTCAAGTGTTCAATAAATGCTGCTCAAAGAAACTATAACACGCGGACGAAGTCGCGGGCATAATGAAATGTGGTGGAATGTGATTTTTTAATGGACACCGCTAAATTAAATAAACATGTAACAATAAAGATCCAGTATCAATGTAAAGGGGAAACAATAATTTTTCTAAACAGTAATTTATTAGAAGGTTAATAACTGTCATAATTTTTATACAATAATACAAATATTAATACAAATATTTAGTTAGAATTACCAACAAAGTAGAGGTTCTTTTGTTAGTGGTCCTTCGATATTTAATATTGTATATATTTTAGCGTTCAAAATTACAGCCTTTGTCAATGACTCCTGAGAAGTCTTTGGTCTTTGTGAGATACAAAGGACGTTTCCTATTCATTACTTTGTCACTCACTATGTTATGGTACAGTCTTGCGAATTTGTGCGTTCGGATCGCCTAATTGGCAACGACCAGGCGACGGTGTGTTTACGGCTGTTTTCGAGGCTAGCTGGTTTCGCACGTGGTTGGTGCAGAACAGCCGGGTTGTCGACCTGCGGCCTTGGGACGCAGCCCCTCGATTCCCCCACTGACATACGAGCCAAAATACACTCTGATACTCTGCTAGTATAGATCAACTTCGAGTGTAGCTGAATCTGTCAAATTTTAACAAAAAATCGGTAAAGTTGAAGGTACGTATCGAACGTCGACTTTTCGTCCTAAGCGTCAAGCTTGTTTCTTGAAAAATTTTATTTGTTTTGTTCTATGGAGTTCGAATGGCATTATTCATTAGCTTCAGATTACTCAGCACATTAAATGTTGCCTTAAATATAGATGTTTATGACATTAAAATCAGTTTTAATGTAGGGTAATTGTGCCTGTTTACGCACTTATACTTCCATTACAATTGAGAATATTATGCATAACACACTAATAAGAATAAATAATACCCTAACAATGCATTGCTTAAATGCACTGGCCTTCTACATTTATCTAGTTACCTAGTAACATGAAAATGTTAATTTATTAGTTTTTAAATGTGGCACTAGAGGATACACGATCATGTTTCGGAGTCAAGGAAGGTCACGTCACGTTTGGGAATAACATCGCTTGGGCGTCGGGCGGGCGTGCGGTGCGGGGCAGTGATTTGCGTTGTTTTTTTTATTGCCTTCTTCGTTCGATCCACTCACGCGCAGTTTAACAACACTGTCACGTGACTGAATCGCAGCGCTTGGTGCATGACATACGCAGAGACAGCAAAATGTGTTATTTCAACGCAACTTTAAATCTACCAAGGAATCTGAGGGGTCTATCATTGTCAACGGTTATTCGATCGTGTTATTATTTATCTACCTGTCCAGAGGCTGTGCACCTGGTGTGCAAGTATATGTTTATCTTTAGTTTCACGAGGCAGGGATGCGATTGAATCGTATCCGAACAGGTTTTATTTAAACAGGTCGATGTTGCTCGACTAGATTTGCCGTTCGGTCTTGCATTTGTAGAACGACAAACATAAATTTTAATTGCTTACTTACAAAATAAAAATTACTAGGTACCAACAAGATAAAGGGTATCTATCAATGTAAGTTTATGGCTTCCTTTCACAGTTTAATTTCACCACCATCTACCTACTACCTGTCACAACAAATACTCCTTAAGTGAATCCTAACTCTCCTAACGGTTCTGTTTCCTGTGTCGACACTTTGAAAGCTTCATCGCATTCATTGTGTTGTGTTCTGTCCTTTATTTTATTATAATAACTTCAATGCCAGTAACTATCCATAATATAGTTAAGTATATAGTTATCCATAATATAGTATAATATAGTTAAGTTATCGCAAAAAGTAAGAGGCATACATTTTAGAGTTCTGTAACTTGCAAACAAAACAAAAAATGAGTTCCATAAGATAACTCGTCTGTCCTTTGACTGCCACAGCAAATTTGCTCCAACTCTACTGGACGAATTAATCTATAATTTGGTAACAAACAACCCATTATGTAAGTCGGGGACCGATTATTATATGTGTAACGTAGATAAATTAATTTTAAACATGGATACCACTTTCAGGTGTTAATGTGTAAAAATCAAATGAAATAAACGCAGTTTTTCATGATATTTAAATCTAAATAAATATTTTTGACGATTCCTTAATCTTCGTAACAACTTAACCTTACATTTTGGAAAGAAAATGGTACAGAAAGTGATTTTTTACTTATACTTTACAAGAACATTTATGAGAAGTCTTATTTTATTATATGGTAGTTTTTAGGGTACTAAAATTTTGTATATACAATTCTGAGAGATTTTAGTCTATTTCACAATGATATTATTAAACTCATAGCTATTTCATAACTTTTGAATATATTTTTACTAATTAGACGACGGACTAAGCATTTTATGTTGTATGAAACCCCGTTTAAATTCATAAATTTATTACTAACGAAGATCAATCTTAAATTCTCATAAATGATAATTAGATTTGGGCTCAAAACGATAACAGTAAATACTCTTAAATATTATATTTTTTGAAAGAATAAATATACCTATATAAATAGAATAGGAACTTATTATTTTGAGGGTAAAATATACTTTAAAAAAATTATGGTGCAATGGATGGTGTGGTTGGTAGAACCGTAGAAATCCATTGTTACATATTTATATTTTGTTGGTAGGTTTACGTGACAGTGTTGCTGTATTTGATTTTGAGCTACTAAAGTAGTAGACTTTTTTTTTATTATTTCTACGCTGATAACTACCATCTACTATGAAAAAAGTATTTCAAACCATTGCTATAACAATTTAAAGTTATTTTAAACTATTGCTATAAAAAAATTCATGAGTAATTGGATTATGAAGGGTCGTTTCTAATCAATTTCAATGAAACCTCAATATATATTCCAATTTCATCGGTTATTGGCCCGGAAGAGCTTAAGCACAAATAGTTTAAAGTCACTGAGTAACAACTATTATGTACTCTGCCCATCTCTACATTTCACATCGCATAGCCAATAGCTTTATTTTTAGAGTAAATACCTATTGCTAAATAACTACGGATTTTCTTATTTATAGGCAATTCTTAAACTATTATTTTCCAAAAATTGTCAAAATAAAATAAAAATTTAAAGCAAGAAATAAATTCCGAGAATCATTATCTAATATAAAAGCAACACGACATTTACAATAGTATATGTTATGAATATAAATATAAGGTTGTTTTGCTACTGAGCTTCAGCAAGACTAATTTCACTCGGACGAGTTAATAATGTGTTTTTAACGCTGTGTATTGCAATATAGTTTTCTCTTCGATTACGAAAAAATAAAAAAAAAATTACGGCGCCAATTCAATTTGTAATTAGAATAAACTTAAAAAAAAGAAAAACCCTGGTCGGCTGTATCATTGATACAGCCATATTTTATGCGTGGATACGTCTATGTATGAATGTATATATGAGTAATTGATAAAAAAATAAATAAACAAATTGAAGACACTAAACACTAAATAAATAAATATTCGTTGCGTTCATTTGTTGAATGAAAAAAGTATTCACTAGTGCCAACAGATGGCGTTAGTGCATATACTCCTGCTGACAGAATGCCCCTCCCCCTGCAGAGCAAGCATAGTTCACTTATACGCCAATAGATGGCGTTAGTGCATATACTCCTGCTCACAGAATGACCCCCCTATAGAACGAAAACATAGACGTATCCACGTCAAAAAAACTTTAAGGCGGCGTGACACTAAGGAAAATGATGTAATTAACGACATTTCCCGTTAATCTCACAGAATTAACAATAAGGTATTGCACGGATTCTGCTGAATCGTCGAAATTACCACTTTTAGTTTAATTTCTAAATTCATTTGTTTATGAAAAAGAAATAGATCTTTACGCCGTTAGTATAATTGCGACGCAATCGCATGAAAAAAAAACCAGCGAAACTTGCGAATATGAAACTTGCAATGGGAAACACCACTTGTAATACATCTGCGTCTGTCTAAAGATGTTCTACACAGTTGCCTACGTATTTATATTGAAAAAGACGCAGCTATTTCGTCGAGCTAATAACAGAGCGAGACAAAACACATGCGAAACACTGCCGTATAACTGACATCTTCTTTATCTTTTCTCTTTCACTTGCGTTGCTAACGGCGTTACTCATAAGTATTTTTTACGAATAAAGATTTCTGTAGTCACTTTGATCACAAATACAAACACTTAAAAAAAAAACAAAGTACTCTTTCTTCTAGGCCGGGAAATACTATTTTTAGCCTAACTTTAGTACGCCATAATAATGGATTTTTGAGTAAAAGAAGGGAAACAACGCTTATCAATTTTTAACACGAATATTCTTCCATATCCATGTACCTATTTATTTTCATATGACGATGTTTTCGAATCAATAACTTTACGTAGTAGGAATTTGTTTTCAACGCTGGTATCACTTTTGTTCCCTGACAGTCGGCCAGCTGTGCGAGGTGTAGTTGTGAAAAATAACATGAAAAGTGTAGCTCCGTCCGTCCTTGATGTGTCATCGATTACTAATTTTTACAATTTTTTTTTGTAAAATACCGACATTTTGCTGTTGTACATTGATAAATCGCTTTATTGTCGTGACCTGTACAATAAAAACTACATCAGGGCTGACAGTTCTTTCGTGGTAATTATTAAAATGTTTATGTAACGTAGCATTGTTCGGATTGTTGTATAAAAGTGTATCATCTTTTGTTGCAGATAGTTTTGCAGTGAGTGTGCAGTACATTCGGACTCTGACATTGGTCGCAAACGGTAGTGGTGGTTATTGGTGACGAGTGATGTGTTAGTGTGTTAGTGCAGTGCTGTGGATGCTGAGGCGACAGTGTAGCGCGAGCCCTGGCATGGTGCCGGGCAGGTAGCGCGCGCGGGCGGCCTGCGCAGGCCCCACACAAGCAGCTGCGTGTGTACCCCAGCGTCGTCTATGGCCGAGCAACACATCACACCGTCGTCGCACTCTGCACTCACGAGAGAGTCCAGCGGGTTAGTATACAGATTCCTAACTCCAGGATATTTATGTGAGTTTAGTGATTTGATACTTGAATATTTTAAATGGTACAGACTTATAATAATTTCAAAATTTGAATGTAAACCATTTCAATACTATTCAATCTGATGATACTAGTGTCAGCATAAATACATGCATTATTTGCTTTCGTTCCTCATGGTCTTTTTAGTATCTTAATTTTTTGTATACAACAGATGCTTTATACTAGATATAATCTGATGCTCTTGCATGCTCTAGCATCAAAGTCTTAATTTGAAGAGAAATAAATTACCATTTATTTAAACATTTACATTTGTATTACATATGAATAAGTTTCTAAGGATATCCAAAGTTATGTTGAAATATTGAACCCATACTATAATATTGTTGCATTCCAGTTACCTATCAATTTGACTGTTTATGTCACCATTATTTTATACCTATAGTACTGATAATGTAAAACAGTCTGCTGCAGCTGCATTCAATATAGTGGACAGTATCAGAACCATAACATAATTCATATTAAAAAATCTGACCGCCTCATCAATAATGCTATCTGTTTCATCTTCTGTCTTCGTAAGTTCGACCATGTTTCCTCTTATCGGTTTCAGCTAAAATGGCTTCCCATTCGACAACGGAGGCATCTGCGGTTGCTTTATACACTTTATTCTATTGTTTTCAATCCTCATACACCAGAGTACTATAGTGTAAATTTCAATATCTCTCTGACACTCATGGTTGTCACCTGCGTTCATCAAACTCTCACTATCCACTCCTCTTATTCACACTGGCTTTATATCCAACTCATTTATTCTACAATCAATTCGACTGTAGAACAGCCTCCTCAATTCCATCAGGAGATCATCAAATAAATTCATTTTCAAAAAAGACCACACCTTTCTTTTTCAAGGCTAGTAAATATTGTCATCATCATCTCTATATATATGTATGTATGTATGTTCATATTCATTGTATATAGGTATGTAATTGTGTGTAAGTTTATTTATATTTTGGTATGTTATATGTTGTAGTATATTTTATTAAAATTTTTATTGCTCTGTACTGCCATTGCATTTGTCTATTTTCCCAAAGGTTGACTGGGAGGGAATGCTATTAGCATTAAGTCAATAAAGTTCAATAAATAAACAAAATTTTGGACATTTTATAGTCCCTTCTGATATTGATTGTTATCACAACGAAGTATAATATAAATAACCATTATTCAGTACTAAATGTAAGCTTTTAAATTCTTCTATAATATGCAATGTATTTTTATGTAGTTTTCACTACTGAATAGAAAAGAGGAAGGATTATCACTCAAATTCCTACCACATAAATACATTGGCTTTGGTTTACTTAGGTTAAGATACCATCTTTACATGTATGCACTTGAAAATTCAATACTGTATTGAGCTTTAAATATAAATGCAGTAGGCCTGCATAATGAAAACAGGTCGACAGCTAGTGATGAAATAATAAATTTTAATATCTATGTCAATTTAATCTTTATATTTACAACAGACTAGAAACTTTTTATGAGAAAATATCATAAACTACTTCAAGTCCAGTAAATGTTCAACATTGATAGTTTTAATTATCATCATCAACATTAATGGGAAATAACATTTTCAAGTATATTTTGTGGTCATACAAGTTACTAAATGAATTATTATTAGATAATGGTCAATGAATAATTAACAGACCTGTTATATATTACTTAATGGGTTTTGGTATTTTATAATGGTCAATTGTAGTTTACTATTCGTACTGAATACAATCATTTGTGAACTTTAAATGTTTATTGACATATATTTCCTTTATAATAATTTCTAAAAAGCAAATGTGATCAAAAATACATAGCACACAAATTTGAGCTATTTTGAGAACTTCTTTGGTAAGTACCTATACTACCTATACTATTTCTTAGCGTATTTAGACATTGTCAATTTAAGGCTAGGTAAACTGAAAATGTTATTATAATAATTTATTAATTAAAATCTCTGGTCTGATCTTTTTGTAAAAATCTTGTTGAACAATTTGTTTATTAAAAAAAATATGTATTGTTCCTTTTCTAAATGCTAAACATCTTTTGAAAAAAAAATACCACATGTTTTTAATGAACTTAATAGTTCTTACAACATCTGAGAAAACCAGATGAACTCTAAACACTCACGGGCCCAAATGAGTCTATAAAGTTTTATAACAAACAGTGTTTATTTTATAATCACAATTCAATTCAATTTCTTTATTGCACTCCATAATATATAACAAAGAAGGAAGTTATCATCTTGGACCCCTATCAGGTATGGCAATTAGGAGAGTAGACAAAGCAAATTTAAAAGAAAAATAAGTGTAATCTACAGTGATATGTAATTGTATTTAAAATCCCATATATAGGTTCATATTTAAATTTTGTTTGTCTTTATTATCTATTACTATGACATAATTAATTGATGTTGTTTATTAAATTTATCTGTTAATAACTCTCTCTATGTTCTGTGGTTAATAATAATTTGTATAATAATGTTTAGTCACTAACAAATTCTGAACATGTTTTATGAAGCTTTTTCTTAGGTCATACTTTTAATTGTACTTGGCACACTTAGCAATTTGTTAAATATTCTTACCAACATGATGAGTGGTAGAGTTGCATGCATGAAGCCGGCAGTATGAGTTTGTTAAGATCTGAAAGTTATTTCCTCTCGCCTAATCAAGATCTGAAAATTTCTTTCCTATTCACAAATTTCTAAGATGCATATTACCCAGTAAAGTTAAAATTTTGTGCTAACCAAAATATGGTTTACAACTATCCGTGTTTTATAGACAAAAAATAATGCGTATTAGTTTTTTTTGTTGAGTAAACAGGGAGCTGGATTCGGTGCTATTTCACCACACAACCATGCCATGATCATGCGTAAACGTAATAATTCGTAAATATATTACACAGGTCTTCTCCTAGCAGGGTGGTGGGCGGTCGGTGGTTGCGTCAGGTGCGTCAAGTGAGTCACAGCCGTCGGAACCGACGTAACGTGACGTCGCCCCTGCCGCGCTCCACCATCCGGTACTCGTCCGGACACGCGGACAACGAACCACACCCTCACACCGAACTGCGGAGGAGCTCCAGGCTCGTCAACTCATTGCCCCGATCCGATTACTCCATCACTGAACGCTGGTCCTACGGCGCTGACGTATACGAGACGCGCTGCGACACCGTCGACTTTAAAAGTGGAGACACAGAAAAATCTAACCTCAGCTCATACACGAAACGTGGACGAACTTCCTTGCATGACAGGAAGAAACGCAAATCCCATTCCATATCAAACGGCACTGAAGAGTGCATCGCATATTGCACACGCTCACGGACTGCTCTTAAATCTACTGAGAGTGCTTGTGAGCTTTTACCCGACAGTTTAAAGGAACAGACATTATCACAGACTTTAGTTAACCAAGAGGCTATTGATACCTCTGCACAACAGTTACCGCTTAATCATTCTGAAGGTGGTTTACTTCCACTTGAAGATAGAGATTTTGCATATTCACCGTTTAGCTCTTCGACAGTAACAGAGTTATTAGATTCTGATTATTCTGTATATAGTCCGACTGCGACCAGGAGGAAAGGTAAAAAGAGGAAGAGGTCGTCACATCGTTCCTTATCGAGTAGAAAGAATAGCAGCTGTTTGCTTAATTTAGAAGAGTGTAAAAAGAAATTTAAAATAGATCCTTATAGTAAAGATTTGTCAGATAATAGCAAAGAAGCACTTGGGGACACTAGGATTCCTAAACAAGAGACTGAAAAAGTAGATCAGGCAACTGCTTCGCAGGGTGCGTGCGCATATTCGTTGCGAAATAGAAATCTACGTGACCTTGGATCATCTACCTCAACTGTTATTTGTGATAGTTCAGGTAATTACACAAAAGTTTATAATTATTTGCGATTAGATTATTTATAAGATATAAAGAAAAAAAATTACGATCAAAAATATTATATCCTTTTTTTAACCATTATTAAATTTGAATCATAGAATAATTAAATTGAATAATTGAATCATAAAAGAAGTTCATATGAAGGAACTGCTTAAATCAAAAAAATTAAGCAGTTCCTTCATACGAACAGTGCTTTTTTATTGAACTACATTATATTGCTTATCTAATGTTATCATGTGTATCAAGTGCAGTTGTTCATTGTAGATAAAGGCACATACATTCAGTCGTGTTTGTATTTATATTATAGCGAGTCCGTCAACAAGCGACGTGGTATATAGTCAAGTTATAACAGAACGCAAAAGCACTACAGACGCTTACGGAAGGACAGTTACCCCTCCACCTTTTAAAGATATACAAGGTGAGAAAACGATATTTTTAAAAGGTTTGCTTCGAAATTCCGATTAATAAAGTATCTTAATTTTCTTTTATGTTATGAAGACTTTGTATCTTAACAAAATATCGATATTTTCTTCTGCGAAGATAGTTATTTATTCTCCGTAATATGTTTTTTTTTACAGAAGCGAGTTCTTCTAAAGCGCATAGTTCAACAAGCAAGCTTCTCATTGTCCCAAGAGACCTTCCCTACTTACGACAGACTAACGCACGGAGGGTAAAAATAAACTTTTATTTCAATGATATTCCGTTATGATATTGCTAAATCAAAACATTGAATTGTTAGTATGTTTCTATACTAATATTATAAAGATGTAAAGTTCCTAATTTTGTATGGTTAATCTTCGGAAATAATGATGTGATTATTGAAACTCTTTTATCTACTAGAAGTTACATTATATAAGTGTGACATAAGCTATAATTTACGCGGGCGAAGTCGCTATAAAACACCTAGTTAAATAAGTTTGCTTGCACTATACTTAATTGATATCGTGAGGGGCAACTGATATTCTCAGTTATGATTTAGTCTGCCTCTTGTCAATATGGTGATACTTTTATTATACTATAAATGTTACAAGTCGGTGATAAATAATAGTTCTAGGCAACTGTTAGTATCTGTTTGATAGTGGTGCTTACTGTGTGCAAGTTTACGTCTCTATAAATAAAGGAGGTAAATGGACTCATAATGTATCGATATAAGTTGATATGTAAGCACGTTTTTCTATTTATCTCGCCAATATATAATCTATAATAAGTTCCCAATACCCAGGGGAGAACACATCTCAAGCGTTTGCAAAAAAAAAGAATATAACAGTTGTACTGGTTACAGTATCACATTCATTTATTTTGTTAACCGTTGTTTAAAAACCCAAAGTAAAAATTAGAATTGTTCCAAATAATGTAAAGGTGAAGGGTCATATATTATTATTTATAGCGCGAGAAGCCTCAATACATGAAAGGTTGGGAAACCCTGATCCATTAGTTCAAATAAGTTTAATTTGCATTAACAAATTCAATTTTTTTTTTATTTATGACAGACAACAATTGAAAATAAACTTCTTGTGACAATAAACAAAAGTAAATAAGGAGTAATATTCAATATTTGTATATCATTTATTTAGATCTTTCTATTTTTTATTAAGAAATCCGCAGATTCTTGGTAGTGTATATATCCTGTTGATATTTAGTTAATTAAAATTGGTTTTTGATTAGAATCTGATAATAATAATTGAATTTGTTTATGTTCAGAGTATTGCTGCTGCGACGGGGGCTACCCTGGGTGCTTGCTTGACGAGGGGAGCCAGTACATCGCAACGCCAGAGGCAGGATTCTGCAACAAAAAGACAAGTAATTGTTTTGTTTGATTAAACAATAGTAGATTTATAACTTGCAAAATATAAAAGGCGATATCATGCTGTGATAACACGTGACCTTTCTTTCATTGTGCTGCATTATTATACGAAACAAAAGATTTTCTTTATTATCATTAATAGCAACCAAAGTTAACTTTGCATCGGAATATTGTTATTATCATTAACTATACTAATATTATAAAGCTGATAGGTTTGTTTGTTTAATTGAACACTCTAACCTCAGAAAGTACTGTTTTGGATAGAAAATGCTTTTTGGTGGAAGGCTATAGGCTACATAACATCATGTAACAAGAGTGCAGCATCGATGAAAAATGTTGAAAAACCGGGAAAACCCCCGGAGATAAAAAAGCTAGCGAAGCCGCTGGCGGAAAGCTGGTTTTAAATATCTATGTATACACCGGTGGTTACATTATAGGATAGATTATTTTATTTAATGAGATTATCTCTGTTGAGAATAGGGACCTGAGGTTTCGTAATGAATAATCGCTTAGTATCATTTCATTTTCGTAAAATATTCCATTGACGATCACACACAATACATTATTGTTTATGCACGAACAGAAAACAAACATTGCCATTCTTGTAGAAAATGATGTATTATGATATACCTCTCTATCTATACTCTGTTCCTAGAGCTGAGCGAAATTCTTAGTGACTGCAAAGATGGAAGATTTATTTTGGAGTCAATCAAACTTGAACAAATGAAATTCCATGTGTTTTTAATTGCCTTTGTAATTACTAAGTTTATTTATAAAAACTAATTTTATTTCATTATTTTCAAATAAAAGCTATATTCGTTGTCTAGTCTTATTCGTTGAAGTGATAAACTTCTCCTATTTTGAAGTTAGGTTTTTTAAATGTATTGTTATTATACTATGCAAGAAAACGAATAGCCACTGCTAAAAGGTTAACTTTAAGCACAGTCAACAATACGTCAGGTTATACAAAACTCGAATTTCTCAAATTGATTTTATATTTTAAAAAATTGAGGGCAGAGTTTATAATCAATTACGGAATTTTGACATATTGGTAATGTGCAACCGTATTACTAACATAACCGTACATGAGGTAACATAGCTGCCTAACATGATAGCACGATAATAACCTAAACTGTCAGCAATGGTATAAAGCAGGGCCCGGAAACGTTATTCAAAATAACGTTTTTAAAACGTTTCTTATGGTTCTTTGGGCAAGATTGCGTTCGAAACGAAAACGAAATGAGAACGCTTTAAAAAACCGGTTTAATCCGCAAGACGGTGCCGCGCGGGCTATAAGGGCGGCGTACATTTATTTTATTACGTTATTTACAGTATGCGATGCAAAAAAACGCAAAATAAATGGTTAAAAACGTTTTATTAACCGAAAACAATATAATTCTGTTTTTTTCCAAAATCGTTTTTTATATCGTTCTGTTCGAACGAAACCGAAACAAAGTGTTTTTTAGGTATTTAAGATGAAAACGTTTCGAAAAATATACCGGTTTCCGACCCCTGGTATAAAGGATAAAGTAAAGAAAATATAACAAACAAAAAATGAAAGTAATAAGAAACAGTTCGTATGTTAAACCAAATATAAAATTAAAATTACCAAATAAAACGAATACATACCCTTTTTTGGGTTTCTTGATAAAAACTTGAATCGTCCAGGTTACAGAATACACTTTTATTATATATTATATAATTCCTATTTGAATTACTCATTCATTATTATTAACTGTTATTAATAAAATTTTATGTTTAAATTTATAATAATTAGGTGATTTACATGTTACAACAGATGTTTTTTTACGAACTATCATCCATAAAGAGTATATTTGATTAGTCGAAATATAAATTAAAAATAGTCAATAATAAAACGATATGTTATTGAATATCAAAGACAAAAAGTTTGCATGTTGAAACCTAAGGAAAATAAACGGTGGTATTGACACCATTACAATAAGAATATGCGTCTGATTAAAAAAATGTTTAAATATATTTTATTACGATCATTATTGCTTTCGAATTTTTGTTTTCGAATTTTAACAAAAATTCGTTTTCGTTTTAGAATAATTATTTAAAAATGCGGTAACTTCAAAATATTCAAACGCCATGCTACTTGTCAGAGCGGATGTGACGTAAATGTACACGTATAGGGATGTCGTTGTTACTAAAAGTTAACATCGATGCAATAACATCAATGTATTATGTCGCAAAATAAACAACAGATTACAATTTGAATGATGTTTTAGGCTTTTTTTTCCATAAATTTGGTAAACTAATATTTGGTAAAAAGTCTATTATACTTTAAAAAATCGATTAGTTGTTAATCGATTTGGGTAATTGAGTAATAATCAATCACTCAAAAGCCATATTGATTTAAAATGTCATATATCCAGTCGTGTACTTTGACGTCACGACAAGCGCGCCAAAAATTCCGGTGCTTAAACTGCTCGTAGCTGTTACTTATTTTGTTGTTAATGTTACAAAATTTTAGTTTTACGGTGCCGGGTATTTTTTTGCAGTTATATATCGATGTAAATTATCATATAAAAACATTTTCCAAAAATATGCATTTTCTCTATTGTACATGGAAATAATGTTTTGTTATAAGGTGTCTGGCAGCGAGGGCGCGGGCAGCAGCTCGGCGGGCGGGCGGCGGGCGCGTGCTCGCGACATGCCGCAGCCGCAGCCGGCGTCCACGAGACGGGATAAGCGAGGTAAGGATACACTATACTCTGTTTCATATAGCATGGGTACGGTGAGGTTTGGGATTTGATGTTTTCAGTGATTTAAGGTGTAATATGAGTGTGTCAGGACTTCGTGGAGTGAATGAGTTGAGTTTACTGACCGAATTTTACTATGGGAACACTGAATTTAGGAAAAAATGATCAGTTGTTTCATACTGTTGGCGATTGTATTATAATTTTGTAAATGCGGCGTAGAATATATTATAAATAATCATTCCTTTTGAATTACTCTGTATATTTATGAAAACCACATATAGCAGGGCTTCCCAAATTTATTTCAACTGTGACGCCCTTGGGAAGTTGCCATACTTTTGTGACTCCCGCCTTCCTACCATACATACCTACTGGTTCTAATTCTTACCTAATCACAATTTGTCAGAAAAACTCTAAATAGTATCTAAATTTTTTATTACAAAATACAGAACACATAATAACAAAAATGTTAGCAAACAGAAAATATAAAAAGCAACCACACCATTTTTTATCCCTAATATAGCATTCTCAAAAACTACCTTACGGCTTTTAGAAATGCAATTCTTGAAGTTTTTCATATGAAATTTTTTGAACAATATTTAAAAAAAAGTTTAGTTTATGAAGGTGTTGTTAACAAACTGTAATAAAAATAAGATTTAAATTAGATTTAATAAGTACTAATAAAAAGTACTACTTTAACAAACAAATCGTTTGTATCTTGTCATTAAATTATTAAATCATATAGATATTATTTTACCCTGTTTGATTCTGCCTGGATATTATTGTCTTAAACCAAAGTGATTATGAAGACAAATGAAACAAGACCAATGTCGGGTTGCTTCGTGTCTGCTTGCAAGATATGATTACATATAAAGTGAAAATTTATTAAAGCTTGTAATAAAAAGTAATGCAAGCAACAACCCTTGTCTATTGGTCCCAGATATCAGTGTTTATTCCGCAAACGAAACACTATAATCTATTTATTTCGTCATTCAAATTTAAACTAATTGTATGATGCATATACAGTTTAATCGAAATAGATGTCGACCATTATGTAGGACAACCAAATGTCTGGGTTAGATTTGATAAAGTGTTCTTCTTATCAAACATTCGAACATTATTATTAGTATACAACTAATTACGTATAGTATAAATAATAATTTATTATTTTCACAGGCAAAACCAGTCTGGGTTCGTGTGCTAGTACTGGTGGTGCGTCCAGCAGGTCTCACCCCCAGCCATTAACCACGGTAATGTTCATAAAATATTTAATTAGAGGCTTAACACTTCAAACACTAAGTGAAAAAAAAAAAGTGTTTGAAGTGATTTTGGAATCTGAAATCACAGCATTAGTATAGAATATTTTCATTCTCTAATCGAGATTTAGAAAATTTATATTAAGTGGAAGGATGCAGAAGTAGAGGAAGGCCATGGTACACGATACAAATCAATGGCGTGCTTTTAGAAGGTGATTTCAGAAGCCATAAATACCGACGAGTATGTATGAAAAGAGTAATGAAAGCGGACGCAAGATGTATGTAAATCGTACATTATCGCGGTCGGTCCTCTCTGCCTACCCCGCAAGGGATGCGGCGCGAAGATATATACTTAATAAATATTTGAAATATTTTAAAATAAGGCTTTTTAAACGTCATATAAAATCAAGCAATTAACCTATTTATTAGAGCATTGTAAAAAGTGTGATGATTTATGAATTAATTATATCCTAGGGTGCTGTGGCGTCTACGTCTTCCACACCGCCGGCATCAGCTTCAGCCGCCACAATGCCTGACAACGCGTCTACCGACAAAGTTAAAAGCAAGTGTGAGTGATTATAATTATTGTTAGATTATGATTCATAGCTCAGTGGCGTAGTGGATAAGTGCCGCGGCCCACGATCGTTGTTGCTAAGCAACTATCGCAAGGGTCGGTCACTGGATGACCGACCCTTGCGTGTGACCAAAATTATTATCTCGAGCTACTCCGTGCTTTGGAGGGCACGTTAAACCGTTAGTCGTACTGCATTTGCAGTTGTTAATATCATCAAATCCGCATTGGGTCAGTGTGGAGGGTCATGGCCCATCCTCCTTAAGGAAGGCCTGCAGTGTGGACGTAAAAGGGCTGATAATGATGCATTAAAATTATTAAATATTTTTAATGTTTCACATTGATGTGTAAAAAAGTTGCTGCCAGCCATAATGCTATATCCTTTTTATAATAGAGAACGGGAAGGACACATTGATAGCTTTATATTTGATCTGTATGTTTATTATTCAATCATTTCTGCCTTATTGTTTTAAGATAAATAAATAAATATTATTCTATGTCTCATACGTTGGTTAGATATCAAATTAGGTAGTTCAAGCCATTTTGTTATAGGATATGAAACAACTAAAGGAGATTATATAAAAAGTTGGATTTCTATATTTTTATTTATCCAAAACTTCTGTAGTCAAAAATTCTTTAAAATCGTTTTAACATTTTATACTAGGTACAAAACCGTAACAGACAAGTTTTATCTTCTTCCTGAAAAAAGAAGATACTGAGGTTTAATTATTAAACTATTGCTTGTCTATAACTAATTACTTGAGTAAAATTACTAACTTAATATTTTTAAAATTTGAATGAAGTTAGAAGTCGCAAAAGTTATAATATTATTAGCTATTGACAGTCCTTACTTTTTTTGTTGAAGTTCTCATCTATTTGTTAAAAATATTAGCTAAAGTTTTTACTTTTACTCAACTATATATATGAGTGTAAATTTCATGAGTGGTTCCTAAGTAAGGTTTTAGTTTCTAAGAATATCAGTACTTATTTGTGGGTCATTATTTTTTGAACAGCGGCATCGTCAGCGGAAGAATGCGCCGGCGGCGGGGGCGTGAGTGGTCTAGGCGGGGGCGGGGGTGGCGTGGGCAGCGTGGGTGGGGCGATTGGGGGCGCGGGCCTGGGGGGCGTGGGTCTGGGGGCGGGCGTGGTGCTGGGTGCGGGGGCGGAGGAGTCCTCCTCGGAGGAGGGCGAGGTGGGCCGGCTCCAGGCACTGTTGGAGGCGCGCGGTTTGCCTCCACATTTGCTCGGTGCTCTCGGTCCGCGAATGCAGCACCTGTTGCACAGAACTGTCACTGCCAATTCAGGTGAGCTTCACATATCCAATGTACATTATATCATTTAATGGAAATGACAAATGCGTCATACTAAGTGGTCACACGAAGCATATGTGTTAAACCTTACCTTCTTCCACTAGTGAATTTCACGAAAACCTTGTTTACTGATACACTTGAAAATGTCAGTGAAAAATACAATGCATTTGTTTGATATTCAGCCGCATCGAAAGCTGCCCAACTACTAGCTGGACTGCAAGCGACCGGAGACGAGGGTCAACAATTACAGGCCGTCATAGAGATGTGTCAGCTACTAGTGATGGGCAACGAGGACACATTGGCCGGTTTTCCTGTACGGCAGGTGGTGCCTGCCTTGGTTAACCTCCTCGCTGCAGAACATAACTTCGACATGGTGAGATCAAAATATATTTCAGACTTGTGAAGATAATAGAAAAAACTGAATTTTAATGATACTCATCTCTTCAATCTAGCACATGGATTCCTAAAGTATGTTGGGTTGCAGACCACTTTTCCCGCTTATACTTATACCGTACTAGTCGAGCTTAAATATTTGCATATAATATGTTTGTTTATTAATAATAATAGTAGGTTTTTTTTTACGTTACGTTACTCGATTTCGTATCAAGTAAACAGATAAGATCGGCAACATCGCTTAAATGAAACTAGTAATATTGACAAACAATATAATGTAAATAAATATATACAAAATAAAAAAATACTATCAGTACAATAAATGCTATTGGAACTTATCCTGAACAGACTCCGATGATTTAAAAAGTATTGTTGTTAATGGTTCAAAATAATAAAAAAAAAACTAGTTTTCTGTTACAATATTAAGAATATAAAAACAGACTTATTACCACACTCATTATTAAATTAATATACAAACGCATTCCAAACGAAGTCAATATGGTTAATCTCTGATTAAATTTATTTTTTATTACCACTATTTTTATTGTCCATACTTTTATTTAGTTTTTACTACCTAACATACCAAGAATCGATTAAATGTTTCCAGGCACTTCACTACCCATTTACCGTAATGCAAGCCCACAGGCAAATTAGTTTAGAAATTCTATCTCTAGTTTTTTCTTCTGGATGATACTAGCAATTTAAAAAATTTATTATCTTGTACGAATTTACTGAAACTATTCTTCCCCCTAATTGCCACGTATTACATTTACATAATTTTATATAAAACTCAAACCAAAAATTAAATATTGCTATACTAATTTCCTACTTTAGCCCATTGATTCATAAATCTAATGTAGTTTTCTCAACTTAATTTACATTTTCTTTGGAAAAACGAAGGTTTTGCGTATTACATTCTCAGTTTTTTAAAACAGCAACAAAATTTAGCAAGGATATCTATATTTTACATCTTATTATTCAGAAGCGAAATTTTTCTTAAGAATAGGGAGAAAAATTGCATCACGACATTGTCAAATTCTCATATAACTTGGTGATAATCTTTTCCAGATGAACCATGCGTGCCGCGCACTAACGTATATGCTGGAAGCTCTGCCCCGCAGCAGTGGAGCAGTAGCTCTAGCAGTGCCCGCGTTCTTGGACAAATTACAAGCCATAACATGTATGGACGTGGCCGAACAGAGTCTCACTGCCCTAGATATGCTGTCACGGAGACACTCCAAAGCTATATTACAAGCGGTCAGTATATATTGCTAATATTTTTATTTTTAAAGCAAAATCTGTAACTATTTTTATATGTTTGCCGCGACTTAGTCCACGTGAATATATCCTATATACTCCGCGTACGAAGCAGCTTCCCGTAGATGAAAGAATTTTCATGATCGGATCATTATTTCTAAAGATTCCTTTCCACAAATCTTAAAGACATAACCTCTTTATAATATTAGTATAGATTTAATTTGAACCTTCCATTTTACCATTGCAGCGTGGAGTGTCCGCGTGCCTGACATATTTGGACTTCTTTTCTATCAGCGCGCAGCGTGCAGCTCTCTCAATTACAGCCAATTGCTGCCAAAACCTAACACCTGATGAGTTTCACCTCGTCAGGGATTCATTGCAGCTGCTAGCTAATAGGTAAGAGCGGAATGTTAACATAATCGTATGGATTTTTATCTCCATTTCAGTACGAATAAAATTGTTCTGTTTCTATCTAGACATTTATGAATTGCAGTTTAAAATAAACCTTTCGTTATTAAGATAATTTGTGGAATGAAAATGGGCTGGAATTTAAAAAATATATTAGCCTATATTGTCAAACTCTGCGTTGCATTAAATACATAAGTACAAATCATTTACAATGTGTATGACGTTTTAGACCTAATGTTTGACGTAGAGAGTAAATTTGTATTTTTCATATTATATTTCAGGCTGACTCAACAGGACAAAAAATCAGTAGAATGCGTATGTCTCGCGTTCTCACGCCTCGTAGACAGCTTCCAACACGACCCTGCACGTTTGCAGGAAATAGCCACACCTGAACTGCTCACAAATCTTCAACAACTGGTGAGTATTGGATTTGAAAATTGATAAAAATCTTATATATTCAACAAAGGAGAGAGAAAAGAGGTGTTTGAGAGGAGATTGATAAAAAAGCTAAAAATTATTGATAATATTTAGATCAGTATTTAGTACATACCATCACATCTATTAAGATTTTGTATGAGATTATAGAAAGTAACAGAAATGGGAAAGGGACTTAACACAATGCTCCCTAAGCATTGTGAGCTAAAAGTATTCAATGGGACAATATAATGGTAGAATATTGCTTAAGAATACTTCACACACATACCTGTTTATGTGTCAAGGTATTCTATTTTTTGGTGCTTTGATTTTTTATCTGTTTTAAATTAGTCCTGACATTGTAGAATTTGAAAAACTGGAATTTAATTGTCGCATAGAAACATTCGCTACCATATCTTCTTTCACTTCTTTAATAAACGTTACTTTGCACGGGCTCGAACAAAAAATATCAGTGTTTGTATTGAGATGGTACTTTGTTATATACAGCTGCGCAGAGCGGGTCTCCCCTGATACAAGTATTAATACTTTAAATGAACGACTCGACCATTGTAGAATTAAAATCAATAATAAATAAAGAACATTTTCGTTTTCGTTTAGCTGGTGGTTCAGCCGCCGTTGATATCAGGCGCTACTTTCATCACTGTGCTCCGTTTGCTGTGGGTGATGTGTTGCGCCTGCCCCCAGCTAGCGCTAGCTCTCCACCAGCGATCCATTGCCGACACGTTACTGTGTCTACTCACCGGATCCGGGTCCACTATGCATCAGGAGGTATGGAGATTTTTACATTAGAAATAAAGATAAATTGACTAATTCACTCAGAGATATCTCTGTGCGTTATCACAATAAATTCTCAAGGAACATGCTCATTTAAAACAAAAATATATTTTATTTATTAATTTAAATTGTCCCGCGAAAACAGTCAGTCACGTGACATAAGTACTGGTTGCTGGTTTGGTACACAATGCTCAATCGTGGCAGTCCGCGTTTGAATTATTGATTCATTGATATTGTATTGATCATTTTCTAGACTTTAAATCCATTCATCTATAACAGTAGGACTCAATAAATATAATAGTTTCTATCAGAGATAAACTGTGTCATCTAGCAGAAATATTATTTTAATTTTATTGAATGTTTAGCAAGTGGAGTTGCTGCCACGCCTTCCGCAAGAGTTATACGAGATCACGTGTCTTATCGGCGAGCTGATGCCTCGTTTGCCTACTGACGGTATCTTCGCTGTGGACGCGTATTTGGATAGACCTTGGTCCGCGCCCACAGACAGGACCGCACACTGGCAGTGGAGAGATGATAGAGGTATGTTGGGAATAATATAAATAATAATAAATCAGTATACGTAAAGAGCTTAGAGAGTTTACAAACAATAGGATAATCTACACTGATTAAAAAGCACTTGAAAGTGTTTAGTTTAATTTTGATAATTAAAATTATAAATCAAATAAACCATTACAAAATTGAGCACAGAACACGTTTTCTTACCATAATTAGCTGCACAACCCATTTGTTAGCTGTTGCTGTTGATGATGAGAAAATAGATACTTTATTCATCGGAAACCGAATCGGCTTACGTTTGTTATAACGACGTTTGTACAGGCGTATGGCGTTCATACTCATGGGCAGAAAGTCGCGCTCTCGAAGCAGGTGTGGCCGCGGGCGAGGAAGAAGTATGCCTGACCACATTAGGCCGCTCGTACACGGTCGATCTGGCAGCGATGCAGCAACTCAACGACCACACTGGTACCGCGAGACCAGTCCAACGTGTGCCACCGCCCAGTCGCTCCGATGCGCCCCCGGCACCTTCCGCACCCGCCCCAGGTACTTTAGTTTTTTGTTTAGCTAACGGCAAAGGAGTCTAGCTCATACAGCTATGTCCAAAGTGATATATTTTTTTGTTTCCATCATGCTCATTCAGTCGCTAATCTCATAAATTTTATGAATGATACCATAATCTGCAAAGGTTAATTAAAATATTCACATGTAAAACCTTGTTTAGCTAACGGCAAAGGAGTCTAGTTCATACAGCCATATCCAGAGTGATATTTTTCTTGTTTCCATCGAACTCATTCAGTCGTTAATGTCGTCGCTTTTATAAATGTTACCATAATCTTGATTCATTTAAAATTTTCACATGTCAAAGTTTTACCGTTAATCAAGTGATAATGTAAATTGGGTCAAGTATATTTTACTTTTTGCTAACGTAATATATGGATACGGGATAGGCTTATTTTAAAGGTATTCTCTTTCGGCGTTCATTTCTTTGCATCTACATTATTTAGTGTTGTCATAACTTTGTTCTAGATCCTCGAATCGCAATGATGCGCAGTAACCCGTCATTGGCGCGTGCGCTACTTGCAGTTTTACACGAAGTATACTGGAGCTCTGCAGGTCCAGCTGTTCGCTCACAAGCCCTGAAAGCTATATTGCGTTGCGTATATTATGCCGACGCACCTATGCTGAGACAAGTGCTCAAGATGCAGGTATGACTTACTTATTATTATTCGTAAATTTAAGCTGCTTTACAGATAGAACTAGTCACTGAAACATAGAAGCTCTTTCAGCCCGATAGTCTCCAAAAATATCTGTAGTTAACCAAGCTACCTGTTTCTAACGTAATGTAACTTTGCAACTTTTATAATAAACTTAAATGATTAACAGCCAGTTGTACAAACGTCTATTAAAATTGTCATTACCCATACAAATTTGCCATTCATTAGAGCTTTAAGGTGTCATTTAATCTTAATGGACGTTTGTGCAACTGACCGTAAGTTGGTGTAGTTAACAAACTCTAGTAAAGTCTATACAGGGTTATTAGTAAAACACCAATAGACTTGTAGGACCTTTAAATTACAGCTAACACTTCGATCGCAATGAACTTTTCTTATTATTATGTTTTGAGTTTTTGCCCTGGAATTAACTGCCAGCGTCTGTATTTCCGTCCGATTATAATGTGAATGTCTTCAAATCAAGAGTGAATAGGCTGTTACTAGGTTAATGCGCTATACCACCCAAGGCTTCATCATTACTTACCATCAGGTTGGTTCATAGTCAAGCATTAACCTATAAAGTATAAAAAAGAAAAAAAATATATACACATGGATATGTCAACCCCATCGTACCTTGTACATTAGTTGTACAATAAAATGTATGAATTTTCGTGTTAACGATACAGTTTTGTTAGACCGTAATAAAACTATCGTTGAAAAGTTATTACGTACTTCAATATATTTTTTTATTTTATATTTAATTAAAAAGTATTTAAAGCAGTAGCTCTAATGTAGAAGTAATTGTCAACTTAACGAACTGTATTATCCACAGGTGATATCGTCCCATATCGCGGGTATGATGGCCTCCAGCGATCTCCGTATCGTAGTGGGTTCGCTGCAATTAGCCGAGATCCTAATGCAGCAGTTGCCTGAAGAGATGGCTGTTCAGTTTAGACGTGAAGGTGTATTGCATCAGGTCGCTCAGTTAGCGGAACGCGCTCCTGTCCACACGCCAAGACAGGCGAAAATCAAGGTATGAATTCTAGTTTCATTTAACGGTTGCGAATTGAAATAAATTATTAAATCTTCATTAGACAAAAATAGTTATATACTGAACTTGACACCACAAAATTCTTCTATAAGGAAGTATTTAAAAAAACGAAAGCACTAAAAAAGCACCTCCATTAGATGGCGACTCTAGCAAAAGTTTATTTTTGCAGGAAACGAATGGACTGAAGACAATCATTTCCGTTCCTTTTAACTAACATATTAAAAAACTGAAATTTGAAAAGTTCGCTACTTAGATATCAATATAAATATGAAAAAGTACAAATAGAATATGAGTTGTTTATTGAGTTTTGAAAACTAATTTACTTTTTAACATGAAAGAAAACCGGAAAGGTTGTCATGGAGAAATCAAGAACGTACCGTATCGACATCTAGTTTGATTTCGGGAACTAATATATTTTTTTTAAATACTTCCTCATTGTTTAAAAGTATCTTTGAATACTTTTTATCGTTTAAATACCTACACACGAGAATCGCTTATTATTAAGAATTCAATGATAATGGCATTTTTACCAACAGTCCCCGAGCAATACAAGCGTCCGTTCGAGCGGTGGTTCTTCCCCGCCCGCTTCAACCTCAGCCACGTCCCTGGACCACAACCTCTCTCTTGCGTTCTCAGCTTCCAGCTCTTTCGTCGCCACTAGTCTGCGTAAGTATTTACAATTATGTTTATCTTTAACCATTTAGTTGCGTAAAACGCCTTTAATACTTCTAAATCGGACTCTGGCACCTGAGACAATCACACTTTTTAATATTTCCTCTATTCGAATGTTAATAACTTAACGCGCTATACCAATATGTAGGAAGTACACATAGTTCGCGAGTTTAGCGTCGTCGTTTTCTTTATAGATAAAACATAGTCTTATAAAAGTCACGACAGTACAATACAAACTTCAAAAACCTTTTAGGTTCCAAAGGTAGTGAGTTATGTTAAAGAGTCGTAGATCAATTGACTAACCTTATTTAGTGTGTCATTAGGTCTTTATTGGATATATTAAATACAATTCCTCACATTGTCTTATAGCAACTGCGAGCAGTGAAGGCAGTGGCTCCGAACCGGGCCCCGCATCAGGTTCCACCCATCAACAAGCTTCCACTACAGTTCATAGGTAAATATCCAGATCCAATATCTTTTTACATTATCCGTTTAGTTCTATTCTTTCTTAAAATTATATTACGAATTTTCGCCACAAGATTTTGCTACGAATATAGAGATTTGTGTAGATTTAGCGTGTGTACTAGGCACATAAACCAAATATTTTGAACAAAAGGGAAGTGAGCATAAAAGATGGGTTGTTATTATTAAACTGTGAACTTATAATAGTATAATTCTTGTAGCTTTTATATATTCAATATTTTTCATAATCGTTACAATCATATTAAAACTTACCCTATATAATATTCTAAATGAAAAATGCGCCACTTGGTGCCTGGCACTCCGAGATGGGATTCGAACCCACGACCTTTTGCAATCCGGGCGACTGCTCTGACCACTGAGCTACCCAGAATCTAACAGGACTGACGAATCTTTCAAGCACTCTTAAGCATTTTAAATGTTTCATCAAGAATATTTTTTAGTATAGCATTGTGAATGCGAATTGTTCTAATATAATATCAAACAAAGAACAATATTAAGCTATGTGTCACAATCGACAACCTTTATATGTTACAGATATTTGAAATGAAAATATATTTATTCAAGTAGGCTATTACAAGCACTTTTGAATCGTCCAAAAATTTTTTTCCCCTACCACTTGTTCAGGACGTCTTTTAGCTGACAAGAAGAACAAGCGAAAGAAACTTACCAGCTTTTTATCATAAGTAATGACATTTACATAAATCATGTCATTACCAAAATAATATGTATTATTACAATGTTTTGCTCTGTACAGTTCTTTATTGAAAGTAATCCGGGTAACTGCTCTAACCATTAAGTTACTCAGGACCTAACAGGACTGACGAATCTTTCGAGCACTAAAGCATTTTAAATTTTTCATTAAGAGTATTTTTCAATATAGCATTGTGAATGCGAAATTGTTCAAATATAATATTAACCCTGTATAAGTTTTTCATTTGTAGTCACGAGTATTTATCTGAGAGTAATAACGTTCGTGTAGGTCCGGCAGCCCCCTCCAGTTAGCGGAGATGTTGAAGCGTAAACGCGCGGTGAAGCGTTCAGGAGGAACGGGCGGTAGGCACGGGCGCCGCCGCGACGAGGCCGCGACGCACGCTACTCACGCGTCGCACGCGACCCACTCGCCGCACGCGCACCAACCGCCCACACACGGTGAGGATTTATTTGTAATCAATCTACTCGTAGACGAATTGGTCATTACTTTGCATACATATTATAATAATAAATAATTTCTGTATTAATTGCACAAAAAATTTACATCTCTATAAACATAGATTCTGATCTTGAGTCTTAAAATCGCATGATTATCCTATTATCTTAAAATTAAAAGTCGTGATCTTTTAACTAGGTGTCACTTGACTTGAAACGCGTCCCGCCATTGTGTGACGTCACTTTGACGACTGCTGTCAGATTAGTCATAATGATATGCCAATTAATTATAAATCTAAATCTAAATATGTTTTTATGCCAATGACATTTTATTATAACGTGTCTACGTCATACCCGTCCATTATTGCATTTTTAAACAGAGTAAATTTTATTGTAGTAGTGTAGCATTATAATACGTACAACTACAAGGGGTGTAAAGAAATCAAAAATAGCTATCTCCCTATCAGAATCTTCAGCATACCTCTTGTTAGAAAGAGACAAACATATTTGCATAGCTTTACGTGTCAACTGCTGCGTCCTCATAAAACACGGTGCACGAAAAATTGGCCGCGTTCAATGACGTTTTATTATTTTTATTAAAATATAAAAGAGTAAGTACATTTGTACATTGTTTAATCACGCAAGAAGACATTTTTTCTACATAACATTACAATTATATGGAAAATGACCAGTGAAAATGACATCAGCCACAATGTCTGCTGAAACGTGACTAAAGTGATGCCCGGGCCATTGCCTTGCTTTTTTATTGTCAACGCTGTGCGTAGATAACCCATCTAAACTTTGTTATACAAACAAATGTACTTAAATTAAGTGTTTCACAGGAAGTGTACATTTGCAAATATGTCAAATTTCTTTAAAAACATATTAAGGTTTAAAGTCGAATGGAGAAATCTCCATTTGTCCATTGTACTTTTACCAGTTAACATGACATCTGGATAGAATGACGTTTGTGTTAAGAACTTAAAAATATATTTGATAACAAAAAAACAAAGATAATATAATAAGATGAATTAAAAAATCAACAAAAAAAAATCAAAATGTGACAAAAACTTGTCAAAAATCATCTTGCTTGCAAACAGCGTGTAGACTAGCGTTTTTTTGTACTAATTGAGTTATAATTCCTTCCAAACACAGCAATACAGGTCTGGATCTAATTGTTGTAAGAGTGTAAGCGTGTCTGCACAAAATAATTTCCAAGGGATAAATCTTTTGTATTGTTAATAGATCTGCAAAAGTGATACATATCAGAAAATTTTACTTCACTATCACACTCCTTGCTTATCTGTAACGTGTTGTTTTGTTAAGACCGAAAAAATTAATTGAATATTATTTTTATTATTACCATTAGCTTCCGGTGTACCGTCAGCGGCACGTTCAGCGAGTCGCGTGGGCGGCGGTTCCAAGACCTCATCGTTCTTGTCTTCTTTGAATCCGTCTCGTTGGGGGCGAGCGCCGCACGCTCACAAAGATTCAGCTCTACTCGCCTCCCCACACCAACCCGCCAATCTCACCGTCCAAAACAAGTTAGTAACTTACATTTCTGATAATATAATTTATTTTTATCTTTTTAAAGTATAATTAAATTACTAAAATAACTTTTTCAAACTTTCATGAAATTTCGACTGTTCAATGATCAATTTTATTTAAGCAACCAAAGTTGCATATTGATGCAAGATATGCAGTGATTAAAATGCATTGACAATGCTTTAGTTTTTTTTTCAATAATATTTGACTTGGTTCCAGTTAAATACAATTGAAGTTTTGTATAGATCCGAATTGAATTATTAGTTAGTAGATAACATTGATGAAAGAGTGCCAAATTATTTTGATCATTTTGCAAGCTTCAATCATATGTATGTATGTTTGCCTAGATATGATTGAACTTGAGTACTTTACTTCTTTTTGATCACCTTGGATGCTTCGATGATCATGACCTTTATCACATTAGAAACAAGGAATTATATATTCTTTTCTTCTATTAAATGAGGTTTGAACTTGACAAATTAATGTTTTGTCTTTCATAGAGAGCTCGCTCTCAAATAAATTTTATTTATCATACATAACAAAACTATCATTGATACTTTTTCTCAATAAGCTCATGAATGACTTTGATATTTAATTTTAGATGACTGATAGTAATATTTTTTTCCTTAAACCATAAAAATAAATTATATGTCTGTCGCATAATAATCTGTTTACTTATAAATTAATTCTGCAATATAGAGAGAAAGTCCGCGAATGGATCCAATGGACCGCGGCCCGTCTGCAGCGCGAATGGGGCGCTCTGGGCGGAGGCGCCGGTCCGTTGGAACAGTTGGCAGCTCTAGCGGCCGCTCTACCTCATCCGCCTCACCAGAGAACAGCGTTAGAACAGCTCCGAGATACGCTTCTGCAACACGACGTGTCACCATTCGAGGTAACAGTAGTTCTTATATAGGGCATAGTGATATCGTAGCTCGGTGGCGATCGTCTTTGCTAAGCAACTTGCGCAAGGGATGGGTGACCAAAAAATTATTATCTTGAGCTTCGGAGGGCAAGTTAAGCCGTTGGTCCCGGTTGCATTTACAATCGTTAATACCCTCCAATCCGCATCGGACCAGCGTGGAGGGTTATGGTCCATCCTCCTTAATCATCTATAAGGAAGGTGTGAGCCTCAGCTGTGTGGACGTACAAGGGCTGATGATAATGATGAAAGGTATATTGATTTCATCATGATTAACATAAATATTTTTTTATTGGTAAAGTTGATAGGGCTATATAGGTTATAGTCTAAGAGGTTGTTACAACAAGACGTCCAAAGCTCGATATTTCAGTATGTTCAAGTACTAAGGGTACTTCAACAGTATCCTAAGTTAAGAAACTACTTAAATCACACAGTCGTGGCACGCGGTTACTCAACATATCCCAGCAGTGGTTGCAATAGTCAGTCAGTGGAGATGTTCCAGCATCTGACTTCCGCACTGGGTAGAGTTATGTACTGTAACATAAAACTTAATATTACCCCTTAGTACATTGATATACCGAAATATCAAGCTTTGAAAAAATATTGCACATTTTTCATGAGCTCTCCGTCTCCGTCACTATGTGCTCATCCATTTATGCAATTCGCAGACTGAATAGTGAGACAGGTGACTTAGAGGGGGAGTGTAAGTTTAAACTCTCACCACGTATAACTGGTAATAAAGAGCTAAAAAGTTACAAATATCAGATTAGTTAACCCCTGAGTTTAGAAAATAGAATCAATATCAACTACATTGACCATAACCAATGTTTTATTACCTTACTGTTTTTAGGTTAATCACTCGGGTGTTCTCGGCGCCCTACTTCAGTTTCTGACTAGCAACGAGGGTGATGAAGCTGAGGAGACGATGAGTGAAATACGTGCTGAGGAGCACGTAGCCGAATGTGAAGGCCGTCTCCGTCTTTTCCTACACGTGTTTGCAGACATGCCTCTTACCGCTGAGTACGTATACTTTGTATTTAATGCTACTATGCTATATAAGTTTATTCTTTATTACTTAACAATCACATTACATTAATATTTACGCTTCGTATGACGTCACACGTAAAAAATAAACCTCATCAAACTAAAATCGTCAACAGGAAACCATATTTACTAGCGTGTGACGTCATCGGAGTTGTAACCACTTGCACTGCGTTTTCGTCTCAGATGAAATGTCAACAAATATTTAATTCTATTTTTTGTTATCTGCAAAAATTATACATTATTTTGTTTAAAATAAAGTGAAATATGTGTTATTACACTATTATATTTTTAATGTTGTCAAATACCCTATTAAAGTTTTTGCATAATATAATGAAGTCACTTTTCAATAAGAATTCTCTGTAGGAAATTAAACAAGGAAAAAAGCACCCCTTACTGAGTTTCTTGCCGGTTGTGGTAGTTTTCGACGGTCACGAATGCTTGTAACAGTATCAGAAGTATCTCTAACGAAGAAAACAGCGTATGGGTATTGTTAAAGTGACTTGTTTGGGAATCAAACTTTAAACGTATTTAGACAGGTAATAAATGCACTATTGGATGGACATATGAAGCTGAAAAACGTGGTGTAATTAATGTAAATAATAGGTATAAATAAAGTTCACTTATATTGTTTATTTAATTTTTCATTATCTCTTTTTTGTGTGTTTATTGTCTGAACGTAGATGTTTTTCGGTTTTAGTTTTATTATCTCTCCTATCTCATTGGTATATACAGGAACAAATGTCTGCTATAAAATCGTGTAATTTTTAATACGTACTTACGACGTGTCCGTTTATAAAGAGGTTATTTTGTCCTTCAGAACCGAGTGGGAGGAGTCAGAGACCGCTTTAAGCACGGCAGGCAGTAACGCTGCAGCGCTGTCCGCGCTAGTTGCCAAAGTGAACGCGTGCGTGTCACACCTGGAACAGTTCCCGGTGCGAGTGCACGACTTACCCGCACGTCCTGCCACCTCCGCTCTCAAGTTCTTCAACACCCATCAGCTTATGGTACGTATAGTTAATCTAAAATGAAAGTGTATACTTCGTAAGCTGTGTACCTTGGTCCAATGTAAATTACAAATACACATATAAATAGAAAAAGAACAGCAGGTTCGTTTTGTTTGTTCATCAATAAAATTTCGGTATATTTAGAAAACATCATTTTTTTTTAAATTCATATCATACAGAGCATACCTCCTGATATGATGAAAATACGTTTCTTTGCAGTCCATTCATAACCCTCTCTTGAACTCTCTCAAAAACAACATAGTCAAGATTTCATTTTCGGAGAAATAGAATAGGCCTTCAGAACCGAATATAGCATCTACCAATGAATAAGGCCACAGCTCAATATTTATTTTAGATCTTCTATCATACTTCCACTATTTCATTGTAAATCATATCTATTCAATTAATTGTTACATGGGTTTTTCCGACTATTTTATAATCTAGAGCAGTCTTAACTCTTTTCATTCATACACGTTTTTTTTTACATCTCATTCTTTTGAATACATTTTTTTTGTGAGAAACGAAATAAATTAAGTCTTCTTAACAATAAACTTTATTTTTAGTGTGATCTCAAACGTCATCCGACATGCACCAACCTGAAGCAATGGAAGGGTGGTGTCGTCCGTATTGACCCCTTAGCTTTAGTTCAAGCCATTGAAAGGTAAGAATTATATAATGTAGGATTCAAATAAATAAGAATTAGATACTATTTTTTATGACTTTTGCTACCTGAACAAAATCTAGAAATATATTGTCATGATGAACTGCTTGTGTATTTTATGGTCAAGTTTTTGCCAGATAAATTTATTTTTGCAGCTGGAGTAAAGTAGCAATATTAAAATGTTACTTACTCGAAATTTATGATCCTATAGAATTGATCTATCTAACAACGTTAAAACTAGCCTACTGAAACAGTTCGTGTTTTCCTGTTTCGTTGAAGTTAAACTCTCCAATTGGGTAAACTTCAGAGCAGTGTTGGTTTCTGTAAAAATCAATGTTGAACACGACAGAACTGAGACGCTGTAGCAGGGTTAGAGGTACAATCAAATAGAACCCTTATTACCCTTTGCATTAGGTTTTATTTGATTGTAAATCTAATGTTGCGAAACAGCACTTCAATGTTGAACACAGGGACGTAGGGTTAGAGATTCAATCAGATATAACCTTTATGACCTTTTGTAGTCGGTTTTATATTGTGCCTCTAATGTTACAACACAGCGCTGCGTTCAACGCTGTAACATTACAGAATAGTACTGCAGGTCAACTTCTCTTCCAAATTATACTAATTCACATAACCATAATATACCTTATAGTTTTACATAATGACCCAATCTAGTAACTGTTCGAGCAGTCTGTGTTATAATTATCTTGGGCTATATATACTTTTACATTCACACGTGACAATGAATTGATAATGAACGATCCATAAACTCATAGGTATCTAGCGCAACGCGGATACGCGAGTCCCCGACAACGCGACGGTTCAGCGTCGGGAGTGCACTCTGACGACGACGCCGCATCTGACGACGATGTTGACGACGCTCTCACCACGCCACCACATCACCACACCGCCGAGTGAGTCGCTTATATAATTATAACAGCTAGCTGTGTGATCACTAGTTAACTGTTTAGCCGCATAAATATTAGTAAGATTATTTAGTCCTGTGTAAATGGCTTAAATTGATTATATAGTGATACGGATATGAATACGATGACAAATTAAATATTTAACGATGGTTACTGTGATAACGTTTTAATTCCCTATACAAATTTCCTTTACCATTTTCATCTCTTTATTTTGCAGTTTTTCTGTATAAAATATAGCCTATTATGTCCACAACACACAAAATAAAAGAATTTTTAAAATTGGTCCCTTAGTTACAGAGCCTATTTGTTGCAAACAAACAAATCTTTCCTCTTTATAATATAACTAGTTTTCCGCTAATAATAGATAACTAGTTTTCCGCTTGTGGTTTCGCTCGCATGGTCTTTTATTTTATATATATACCTACTCTTTAATCACTTTGTATGTTGATGAAAACAAGTAAAGTAACATGTAACTGCTGAGATAATTTAGAAAATTTATGCATTCACTGAGAAATGTCAACAAAAGTGGATTGGCATTTTTTTTACTTGTCTATGCTAATATTATAGAGCTGAAGAATTTGTTTATTTGGTTGAAAATGCTAATATCGGGGACTACCGATTCGAATAGATTTTTTTTTTATTGAATATATCATTTATTGAGGAAAGCTATACAGGCTATCATCCAGTTGCACTAACGTTCATAAAAATTGTCATTAGTATAAAGCGACATTACCGAGAAAGTTTGACATTCATTAGAGCTTAATGGCGTCATTAAATATTAATTGATGTTTGTGGAACTGACCTTATATCACACCAATAGCTATTACTAATAAATGGAACGGCAATTAAAATTCTTACGGAAAACGGGAAAACCATGCGGGCGATTCCGCTGGTGGAGAGCTAGTTTTCTAAAATATTTACAGAGCTACCTATAAAAATAATGATTTGAAATTATTTTACGTACTACGTTCTCGTTGTACAGCGACGGTTGGACATGTTTTCACGAGTTATTTATTTCACAATTTGTTTCAGTACCGAACACAAACTAGAGTTCCTGATCGGCGACACGGTGTTGCCATACAATATGACTGTATACCAAGCCGTACGACAGTTTGGCGAACAGACTGATGCTGATACAGATACGGAAACTCCACTCGGTAAGATTGTACATCTACTAATAAATAATGACAATATCACACTTGATTTAAGAACTCGGTAGCGCAGTGATGTAGAAGTTGAATGACATACGAAATGACCAAAAATGTATATTTCGAGCTCTTCCGTGCTTCGGATGGCACGTTAAGCTGTTGTTCCTGACTAAATCTGTACTTATTAAATCCCATCAATCCGCACTGAATCCGCGCAGTGGACGATGGCCCGTTCTGCCCCCGATTGGAACCCTTCAAAGGAAGCCTGTGCCCCAGCATTGGGAACGATAATAGGCAAATAATGATGACACTCAAAGTTTTTGACAATGTACAGTCACAGACATTGCCGCTCTTGCTATTGCTGATCTTCATTGAGGAAGTATTCAAAAAAAATAGTTCCCGGAATCAAACAAGATGTCGCTACGATACTTTCTTGATTTCTTCATGTTAACCCATCCGGGTTTCTTTCATGTATAAAAGTAAATTAATTTTCAAAAGTCGTACTTTTTCGTAATTGTATTGATATCTGAGTTTCGAACTTTGCAAATTTCAGTTTTTTAATATGTTGGTTAAAAGGAACGGAAATGACTATCTTTTATCCATTCGTTATATCCAAAATAGCAACTTTTGCTAGAGTCGCCATCTAGTGGAGATGCTTTTTTAGTGCTTTCTTTTTTTAAATAATTGCTCATTGACACATCTGCAGCATCTCGTTGTATTAACTCAAAAGTGTTCATTCAAGTACCTACGCATCCTTGTACACATTACTCACGGACAGTGGATTGTTATTGGTAGTAGTGCGTTTGCGGGCGGGGCGTAGTAATCACTTCAAGAGATATGTTCATTCAAATATCGATACGAACTGGAAGAGGGCAAATGTCCGTTATAGTACCTTCAGAACCTAAGCTTTGCTAAAAAAACTTTTTAGGGAGATCGATTACAAATCTTATACACGATTAAGCAAATATAGAGATTATATTTTGTACAATAACTTAAATAGAAATCTAAACCGATGCCTCTGAAATGTTTACGTTGGCTTTCCTAATCTCTCAAAATTTAATCTGGAGTAATAGATACATTTGTTGAGTTATAATTGTCATTACAATAATTCATAAATGAACTATTATTTATGACGTTTTTTTATTATTTTCAGCAAACGCTGGTATATGGATACACACTCATACTATATATTACCGAGCAGTAGAAGCCGGCGAACAACCGCGCTCTGATACTACCGCTTCCCGTAAAGGAAAGGGTCAACCCACTAAATTGTCATCAAGAAGAAAACCTGATATACTGTGGAATGGTAAGCGTGATAAATTATCAAGCATTAAGTCCGCCATTTGTGCATTTTCATTTGTGCAATAAAACTTAAATAAATTGATTAATAGATGTACAGCTCCCGGCAAGAAAGTAAACCCTAACCCTATACAGGATGTAATAATAATAAAAAAAGATTAAGACAAAAATTTTCCGATGGCGTGATACTTGAATACTGTCCAATTTCTCCACTTGATTTGAAACCTTAATGCATTGTCGATAGTGTTCAAAATCATTTGCGGAAATTTTTCATATTGTGGTTATTAATAATCAGTTGTATCTTCTGCTGATCACTGATTCTTAGAAGCAACCCAAGTGGTCCCCGACACCTCGTAAAATTATTATCTTTGAATTTACACCAATTTTATTTGTAACTTAAAATCAAGCGGGTGCATGGCTTTTATAACTTAGAAAAAATACTATAGCAGTCCTAGTCCAAAGTTGCCACAACTATCTTACCCGCTAATAATTAATTCCTTTGATATGCGGCGAACCCCGCTGCGCAATGCGGCCCATGCCGCACGTTATGTTATAGCCTCTAATATTTAGAACTCTCAATGGATCAACAAGCGGTTTTATGTGTTATGTTCTCAGATAACTAATCTCGCTTACGAAAACAAAAATAGTACGAGTAGTGATAGGCACATATTTTTTATCGATGTCGATAATTTACATATCGATAAAATCTATCGATGTTTTTATTAATCAAAATAGAATATAATTTAGGACTGTATGTATGCTTATCTTATTATCACAATACCAATTAAAGACAAAAGTATTCATCATACTCCGAAATAAACATTTTTTCTTTCATTCTAACCTCACATTAAATAAAAATACTGTGAAATATGCTTGAAATTAAATTATTTGACAAAGTAGCGAAGTGATTCTGCCATTGGCATAATAAATTTAAAACGTTTACGCGCCATAGATCTTAAGTAAATAACAGCCGAAGACGCGGGCCCATCTACCGCGGTAGACGCGACGCATACACAACAATTTTTTCAGTATATCTTTTGTGTTACTTCACAGAGGGTATAGTGCCGTCCCGCGAGTCACCACTGGTGGTGATACTAAAGTCGCCGTTACTGAGCGGCGGCGGCGTGGAGGTGAAGGACGCGTCACTGCCCGCTCTCGGCGTGCTGCGAGCGTTGCACGCGCTCGCGAGACACTGGCACACGTTATATAGAGCCGTGTGCTTACCCGACCAGAGGCCACTGGTGCCTCACGCTGACTTTATCAACGCCAAGGTAAAATGTTGTTAATGAGGAAGTATTAAAAAAAAACATTAGTTCCCGAAATCAAACTAGATGTCGCTACTGTACCTTCTTGATTTCTCCATGGCAACCTTTCCGGTTTTCTTTCAAGCTTAAAAGTAAATTAGTTTTCAAAACTCAATAAAAAACTCATATTCTATTTGTACTTTTTCGTATTTGTATTGATATCTTAGTTTTGAACATTTCAAATTTCAGGTTTTTTATATCCATTCGTTTCCTGCAAAAATCATCTTTTGCTAGAGTCGCCATCTAGTGGAGGTGCTTTTTTATAGCTTTCGTTTTTTTTAATACTTCGTCATTAACCATTCGTCTGTTTCTTGTAACTTTAACTTTCCGCCAGCGGCCTTACGGAACTGTTGTGATTAAATTGACACATTGAATAGTAAACAATGGTTACTATGGAGACGTTTTAATTTCATATACAAAATTCCAATCTCATTTCCATCCCTTTATTTGCTGTTTTTCGGGGTAAAATATAGCCTATGTTCACCGTATATGATGTAGCTTCCCGTAGGTGAAAGAATTTGGGGCCTATTCGTTAAAATAAACAATCAAATCTTTACTCTATAGTCTAGAGCAGTGATTCCCTAAGTGGTCCAGGTGGACCCCCAGGGGTCCACGTGGGATTCAACGGGGGTCTACGTTGGCGTGAAATAAAAGCAATGTCTATCGTTAGATCTTCGAATTTTGGGAATATGGTAAAAATGTAGCAGTAGGGGGTCCACCGAAACCAGTTTTTTTTAATGGTCTACGAGAAAAAATGTTTGGGAACCTCTGGTCTATAGAGAAAAGTAATAATTTGAGAAAATGTTATAGATTAAGCAAATATTCTTAACAACCAAACAAGTATTTAAAAGAAATAAGCACTCTTAAGTTAATTATTATTAGCTATTTATAGTCGTAATGATATTATTGACACTAATTAAAACACAAGACTGTACCTATTTTTTTCAGCTTTACAACTGCAACTGCAACTTAAAATATTCTCTTTTTTTGTTACAGTTGGCTGCCAAAGCAAATCGACAGTTACAAGACCCACTTGTTATAATGACTGGCAATCTGCCTCCATGGCTAAAGAAAATAGCTTATGCCTGGTGAGTATATGTTCGATATGTTGCCCATATTTCATTTTGTTCTTTATTGTTTACCAGTTAACACCCATACCAGTTGACTGCAATTGCAATTTGCAATGGAATTACGGTATTTTTGCAATGGAATTACGGTATTTGTCTGAAGTAAATAGATCCTGAAACTAAAAACGCTCGATCTCTATTTCGAGCAGCAACATCGCAAGTTCCGTTGGTTTTGTCGTTGACTTACATCAGTCGATCTGGACTGACGTAATTTAGAACTACCGTGTTTTCTTGTCAAGAAGACGAAAATTTATCATCTCGTCCTGGCTGGAATGGAAGGCTTATGCCCCAACAGTGGACATTAATAGGTTAAAGATAATGAATTAACAAATAAATAGCTTAGAAGGGTAGTTTAGATAGTGAAAAATAAGTCACATCTTTTCACAAAAACTAAAATTTACATTGAAATAAACATGGATATTCTGATTTTTTTGTCTTAAACTTCACGATTGTCTTTCAATTAAAAGTGTGACCCCTCTCTGGCAACATCATCTAATTTGAGGAAGATAATTCGTAAATAGTAACCTCTAACCTTATTTTTTATTTTTACGCCACTGTTTTTGTCCGATTGACATATTTTAATCATAAATATCATATATTTATGATGATATTTATGATTAAAATATGTCATAAATATAGCTGACAGTGTTTTCACGGGTATAAAAAAAAGTTTGAATTAAAAAAGCCTATTTTATAATGACTTATTTAAATTGTAATAAATACTTGCGAATACTATTACAAAGAATAGAACGTTGTTAACGGCAAGCTTTATTTAACAGTCCCTTCGTGTTACCGTTCGAGTGTCGCCATTTATTATTCTACGTGGTATCGTTCGATCGCGACCGCGCCCTGCAACGTTTATTGGAAGCGGGCGGGGAACGCGGCGCCGCCGGCGCCGGTGCCGGGCCTGACAGTGAACGGGTGGCGCCGCGTCTCGACCGTCGCAAGCGCACCGTGCAACGTCACAACGTGCTCAGACAAGCGGAGCACGTCATGCACGAGTTCGCACACTCCAAGGCACTGTTGGAGATACAGTACGAGAACGAAGTGGGCACCGGTCTTGGGCCAACGCTTGAATTCTATGCGTTGGTGTCGCAGGTGATTTATTTTTATTTGATTAAAATCTTATATAGTATACATGTAATTAGTAAACAGTTTTCGCATTTACAACGTGTAACAGAAATAACGCACATCCTTATACACCTCAATTAGAAAATGCATTTGTAATTATAAAACGATAATTAGAATTTTACTTTTATTTACTAAAATATTGCTGGTGTATGGACACAGTTATACTAATTGCTGGTATCAGTGTGGACATCTTTCAAATACACAATGATGTCATAATTATGGCTTAACCTGTAACTACACATGTATGTACCTACAGCGCATTACCACAATGATACCGCCTACATAGCAATAAAAAGTCTCGACATGAAATATTATTCTGTTCGAGATTTAAAGTGTTTTTTTTTAAGTTTAGATAATAATTATGATTCTTACTTGTTATGAGTATCGGTTAGCGTAACTACTCAATTTTTACATAATTAATTCATTTTCCAACAAAAAACACAAGATCCGGAAAAAATAAAAGATCCGGATCTATTTCTTTTCTAGCGGATCTTTTACAACGATACTACGTTTGACAACCCCTCGTGAGATGCTTGACGGATCTTCCTTCAAATACGTACCTTTACTACACCTCTTATATGTTATTAACTGATCAATAACCCCGAAAAGATTTCATACAGAAATATTTTCAGTACCAGTAACACCATGTGTCTCTCACAGGAGTTGCAACGCGCCGACCTAGACGTATGGCACGGTAGTGAAAACTTCAAGCAAAAACCTTCTTTCGGCGGAGAAATAGTGAAGAGTCAACCGCCGGTAGTGACGGATCGGTCATCGGACGCTGCCGCGAGGCTAGCTTCGTCCGTCCGCGACGCTCTCAGTCTAGACGAGGACCGAGCTCCTGAGCCGTCGGATCTCGAGAAAGAGACGTCTATACCGTCGCCGGCGCCGGACGCGACGTACGTCTCGTGGCCGTGCGGTTTGTTCCCGCAGGCTATTGGTAGAAATGCTCGCGCCTCGCATCTGTCACGGGTCAAGGCGAAGTTCCGTTTCCTCGGCAAGTTTATGGCGAAGGCTGTTATGGATTCGAGAATGGTGAGTTTTTTTCTTTATATTGTAACTAGCTCAATAAAAATATAGTAATGGATAATGAAATTTGCCATATACCAAAGTGAGTGTGTTTCATACAAAAACGTTTAAACATTTTTTTTATTCATTGTATGTTAATTTTTTAATTTTTTTGGCCATCAGTATAGTTTATAATTTTATCTACACTCAAATAAAAAAATTCGAATTACGAATTCAAAGACGATTCTATAAATACATACTTTATAAACGCATATACAAAAACTCATTATAGTACCGCTATCTTTTTTTATTCATTAAACTAGTCTATGGTTAGGTGAATATGAAAAAATGGCGCACGCATGCGTAGTTTGAACTTAATTCCCTGCGTATCCGGTCTTTTTCGGTCACCCATCCCGTGACAGACCCATGCGATAGTTGCTTAATTACAACGATCTCAGACCGCGTCGCTTATCCACTACGCCACCGAGGTACTCTAGTAAACTTTAGTAAATGAAAACTGACGTAACACCCAGGTGGACATTCCGTTATCGGTGTCGATGTACCGCTGGGTGGTGTGCGAGCAGCGTTGGCTGACATTGAGCGACGTGCGACATGTCGCGCCCGAGCTGTGGCGGTCGCTGTGTCGGCTGCGACGTGTCGCTGAACGTGCGAGACGCATCGCCATCGATCCGAGGCACACGCCGGAACAACGCAATCAAATGGTGAATATATATACATTATGTATTTACTTGTACAAGTAAAATTTTCTCTTTAATTTTTTTTTTCTTAATAGGGGTGTAGACAGCATTTTTATATTTTTATTTTTCAGATGTACACGAAATATATCTAAATATATATATTTAAAAGTATCGTTCATATAATAAGTTGAATCTAAAAATAAATTTAACTATCAAAATTTCCTTCAAAAGTAATTCTCTAAGCTCTGACATGAGTAAGTCAGGCGTTGTTTGCGGTTATGTGACAACGAGTATAAAATATTGGATTTTTCATAATCAATTTAAGCAATATTATAAATTGAATAAGCATAAAAGTGTAATTATTGGTAATAGTATATTAAATACTAATTGAAAAAAATGTATTTATTTTTGTTTACTGTCTACACCCGTATTAGCCGTCTAACTCTCTCACTTTAAGACTAGCCTATATAACTGAAGTTTTCTGAATTTATTTAAATTTGATTCAATTTAATCGAATTAAGACAAACAAAGGGTTTCTAAAAGTTAAATAAAGTCATGCGAAGTTGTGAAAACTAGAATGAACAGTGTATAAATACATTCTTAAGCAAAAAAAATTATTAACCATAGAGTAGTTTTCAAGTTTTGGAAAATTATTTTTAAAGTTTTTTTTAAAGATCAATAGAGATCAGATCGTATACATACATACATTATGATAGAGACTACATTTCACAGTTGTTCTACAAGTAAATGGTTATCGCTAAGCCGCCTTAAAAATAACATAGAACATTAGAAATACATTAATGGGCTTTTTATTGTTATAAATTACAACGTAATTCTCAATATACAATTGTATGTTCAGATAAGTGCACTGGAATTGGACGGATGCCCTATAGAGGAGTTGGGTTTGGACTTCATACTGCCGGGTGATGGATGCACAGAGTTACGGCGAGGTGGCCGCGACGTGCCCGTCACGGCACATAATCTACACAACTATATAGATCTCGTATCTCACTGGCTACTATATGAAGGTAGGTTTACATTGGTAGCTGATATATCCGAGCCAAATGAGGCGAACGTTACTAATTTTATTAACACCTCGCAAATTATACTTAACAGCTATAACAATGACTTATGAAATATGTTGGAAAAGGTAACTTAATTGTAGTATTTTTTGTTTTATAATAAATCATGTATGCAGTATGTTTTATTATTGCAAAATTGACTTGCGATTTATAATCTGTGGATTACAAGAGCTAAAACCCGAGCGGCCATGATGGAGTATCATATGACGTCATATTTCAATAAACTAAACGTTGACGTTTTTATTGCGAGTGCAAACGGTACTCATGTTTATTATGTTGTGACGTCACGACTTGAAATGTCACGTGGCTGTTTTTGTGGAACAATATGAATTAATGAATAAATATATTAATTATACATTGGAGATGCCTTTAAAGTCAAGCAGTCTGCCAAACCGGCTCATACTGGTGTTTTTGTCGTTTTCACACAAAGAATATTTTATTTAAACTTCGGCGCGTTGCAGCCCGATTGTTTTTACATTTGCTACATATTCTGTGAACTTCGAAAATGTTTCTGGAGTGCACTTTATAATAAATATATCATTTGTCGTTACTCCAGTACTTATGTGTTTATTATTGTTTCTATTTGCAGGTGTGAGTAAACAAATGGAGGCATTCAAAGAAGGATTTGAATCTGTCTTCCCACTGACCAATCTCAAAATATTCTACCCTGAGGAACTAGAACAAGTATTTTGTGGAAGCCCATCAGGTGAGTTGGAAAAAATATTTTTTCTTAAACAAACATCTTTATTATACTTTATTTATGGCCTAGACATGAGTAATATGTTCTTGTGAACATGCTTTTTAAGTATTTTTGACAGTCACAGTCACAATTTGTCCGATATGATCTCTTTTTAATTTCGAAGACAATTTATTTGTGTTAAACTTTATACAAACTGTAATTTTAAATTTAAAATAAAATATATAAATTAATATCACATACATTGATCGAGTAGCTAAAGTTCGTTTTATGGAGTATCTGTAACAACGCAGTTATTTCAACACCCAGTCCCGAGACAACATAGAAAAGTTCATTTTCTATATAGACCCGACCGTTAGGGCGCTTGTGCACTACACTGAATTTTCATGTCCGGCGGTCCGATTTTTTCAGGTCCGATATGTCAGGCCATATGTACGTAATGCGCGCTTGTGCACTGTCAGGAATTTTACCGTCCGGAATTTTACTTTTCTCTATTCCGGACCGGTTTTTTCAGGTCCGTGATGGCGGCAATGAAAAACGTGTTTACGCTTGTGCACTGCTGTGTCCGAGATCCGGAAAATTCATAAGGAATAGACTTGGGAAAAAATAATCGATTTGAATCGATATTTATTTCGGCAATATTGTTAATTTCCAATAAACTTATAATCGATGTTTATTGTTGATTATAAAATGCTATATGTTATATGATGATTTAATATAGTTGGTATATATCATTAAGCATGATCAGCGTATGGTTCTAGTATCGACACTTAGCTAGATTTTAGAATCGTATTTAAAGTTACATAGCTTAAGGTAAGATTAATAAGTGTTGTTACTGTTAGACGCCTAAATAACTGAACCCATCTAAATGGAAATTAATATAGTAAATAGACTTAACTTTAAGAAAGAACATAGGCTACATTTTATCGCGAAAAATAGGGGATGAAAGTTTGCCTGGAAATTTGTCATTATCAAATTTTTTTTAGACAATTGATAAGTATAGATAAATATTTGACAACAGAAGTAATAATAAAGAATAAACAGAAGATTAACAAAAGTAATTAAGTGACACTAGATGTCTTTTTCGCATTTAATAAAATTTTAAATGTATGTTTGTGTCATTAATAAAATAAAATTAAAAAAAAGTATTCTAAGGGGATTATATTTCTGCTCAAAGTAACTACACCACGCGTATAAAATTATGACTATATATAATACAGTCAACTGATCTCGTAAAGTTCATTTAGCATAATAATTCTCCGCTAACACGGCACTAATTTCGATTTGTTTACGAAATGGCGCCACCGATTGGTCTATCTCTGTAATCGCTGAAAGTTGTATTTACAAAACTTCGAAAAAAAATAACACGTTTAAAAATTTAAACATCAAGTACTAGACCATTATTAGTAATTTTATTCTAATGTCACAGATATTTTTAGCTATTGTATGTGAATAATGCTGTCCCTAAATTAGTTAGGGTATAAGTTTTTACATCTGATAGTAGTCATCCGACAGTAGTAAAAAAAATGCTTTCGTCTTGCCATAATTTATTATGGTTTATGTAAAACGATCAGATCATTATTTAGGCAACTTTCTACGTCTTCGAACGGAATTACCGACGTTCCAAAAATCTCATCGTACCTAGCGTAAGTGACGTGTAGCTTCAAAGAGAGCTGCCCTACACTGCGCCGCTCCGATCAGGAAAAAAACGGACAAGTGCACAAGCTACTCATCCGAGTTTTTCATGTCATTCCGGACCGGAAAAAATCGGACCGCCGGACCTGAAAATTCAGTGTAGTGCACAAGCGCCCTTAGTCTAACTCCGGTCGTCAGAGATGGCGACAACTTGAAAATAGGCAAACTTTTGGTATTGCATCACACTATTTTATAAACACTAAAAGTAAATCACTATTATGATAATCCATCACTGTTACTGAATTTACAGAGTTTTGAGTACTTTAAGTTTATGTTGTGACTTTGAACTCGTGTAAGATAATGTATTTCCTTCACAGGTGGTCGTGAGCAACGCTGGGAACCGCGTATGTTGGCCGAGTGCATCAGACCCGACCACGGTTACACGGCGGAGTCTCGCGCCATACGTATGCTCATCGACATACTGGCCTCATACAATCGCGACGAGCAACGGCTCTTCCTGCAGTTTGTCACTGGCAGCCCACGCTTGCCCACTGGAGGTCAGTTACTACTTTACATCTTATTAATTAACCTCGAAATTCTCCTATCTACGTCATCTAAGATTCTTCAATATGTTATATTTGATCAATTTCGCATTCATAATGCTATTCTGAAAAATATTCTTAATGAAAAACGTATAAAAGCTTTTTTAAAAAACCACTTTTTTAAAATTTTTAAACATTTTATCAGCATTATAAACGAAGACACATCTCACGCAGTAAAGAGGCTACTCACGCATTTTTTTTTAATTATATAATGAAGATTACGTATGTATGCATTTTAAATTATGTAATCATGATTGTATATTTATATTCAGGTTTCAAGGCGCTAAATCCACCGCTGACGGTGGTCCGCAAGTCGCTGGAGTCCTCACTAGATCCGGACGAGTATCTGCCGTCTGTTATGACGTGTGTAAACTACCTGAAACTACCGGACTACAGCAGCGCGGAGGTGATGCGAGCTAAACTACGGCTCGCCGCCTCAGAGGGGCAACACTCGTTCCATTTGTCGTGAATATTCCGCCTTGCCCACCCCCACCCCATCACTCGGCCCCACTTACCTCACGTGTGAATGCGGTTAGTGATATCAATAGTTATCGTGCCCTCTAGCGTGCGCGTACGCCGTATTTGTGCAATCGGAGCGATCACCCGCTGACGTGATGGACGCTCGAAGTGCTGTGCGTTCTATGATTTCGTTTCTCATTTTGGATTATTTTTAGATTACATAGATATATGTTGATAATTCTATTTTGTGTTAATTTAATGTGATAGCTTTGTATATTACTTTATCGATGTAGAGAGAACGTCCGCTCTCCACGGTTTATTAGAGTTTAATGTCATTAGTGCGAAAAGCACCGGCCATGACGGCCGTTCGCCTACCTACCGCCACTTTTGTTATCATATAGGTACATAATATACATAAATATAATATTATTATGCGAGCTGTTTGATGGACCACTGAAAATGTAGTGTCCTACTTCAATAGCATTTATTACCAAACGGTGTATGTTTTGAGTAACTTTAAGTATGATTAATGAATAAAGAAAAAGTGCAAAATTTAATATGTAACAATTTCAATAAAACCATGTAAACAATATTGATCAATCATGTGTTTCTTTTACTACATCCAAGAAATCATAAAGGTAAAAGCGTCGTCGTCGAAACAACCATAACATCCACCCAATGTTCACAATCGACCTGTTGAATAAGATAAAAGTCAGTGTAAAGCAGTCTACGTTTCCTTTTTAGCGTACTATTTCAAATAGCACTAAAAGGCACTCTTTTTAGCTATGCATTTTTATTCGAAGGTAAAAGATTGTCCTGTTTCTTTTTTAGTTTCTACCTACATAAGTTTGAATAAAAGACCTATTCTCTTAATTAAATATATGGAAAAAATCTAGTTGCTTATCAGGTTTATATGACAATGAAATTTGTGCTAGAAAATTGGTGCTGGCGCCTATACCAGCATTCTTGTAGCGGGAATAATATAAATAAAAATCTATTCTAGAAACTTGTGAGATGGATGGAACCCTAAGCGTGGGTTATAAAAAGATGGAGTGTATGTTTTAGAATTATTAACAAAAAGAAAACTTAATAAGTAATATTTATCCAAGACAATTATTATCAAAATGTGCCTTGCAAACACCTTATAATTACCTTATAACAGGAAAAGTAATTGAAACATGCGTACGTACCTTGATTCCTCTCCTTCTTAGTCCTTCATCAGCAGGAGCTGATGTGAAGTATGCTTTTACACTTTGTCAGGTTAAAATACTATAATTATATAAAATTATTAAGCGATCGCAAACGATAAAAACGTATTGAAAAACTCAACGTCCGGCGCGGAGGTCTTAACATGAAATGGGAGCGGTTGTAGCACGTCATTGAGGTAAGACTGCTACGGTTGTAGTACGCATGAGTGATACAGATGGGAGATGCATAGGTTAAAGGTGTTTGCAAGTGTGTAGACAACTACTCTCTGTGAAAATTAAATAAACCGCCACATACTAAATCCATCATGGATCATCCATCAATTTATTATCATCAATCATGGTTTTGTACATAAAATTCCAACTGCTTACATACCGATATCACATATTAACTGTAACTGGTTCGAGACAATCGGAACTTTATATTGTAGCAAATCAAAGAATTCATTTAATATAATTTCCTTTGTGTTGCAATCCAAGTGACTAAACGTTCATATATGAACTGAAAATAAGACTCATATGTTTATTTTAAAGAAATCCTTTAAATTTAAAATCCTTAAGGTCATAAGGAAATCGTACAAAAAGCTGGTGTTTTTAAGGAACGCGTTGTTACGAGCTGTCTAATAATCAGTAATGGTAAGTACTTAACATAATAGTCTAAATATTCCGACCCTACAGGCTGAAAATATATGTGTTTAAATCTTTTTGAAAGTTGTTTTTAAGTAGAAAGTTAATTAAGACATCAAAGAAGTGTGAAAAGATTAGTTGTTTACTGCAGTAATAATATACTTACTGTATCTGATGATTTATAATTATGCTATGGTGGGATAAGTATACTTAGTTTGATTACCTTTACACAAAAAATAAAGGGTTTTAGCTTTAAGAAAACATGCAATATTATTATTTATATAGGTATAATAAGTAACTACAATTATGTAGACACAATAATAACATTAAAAATAATCTATGTAAGTTATTTATGTAAATATTTTTTACACAATATCACTTATCAGATTGTGAGTGAGTCCTTAGCATAAGCCCCTTTTCACACAAGGCTACCCAAATCTCTGATACTAAAGTTGTTTCTTTCGTTGCATAGTGTACACAAGGCATTTAACTGTGAGCAGTGTGTCCTCTAGTCTGCCAGTATAGACATATTGGTTACTGCGCCAACATAATATATGTTCTCCCATCTTAAAAAACGCAGCAATGTTAGCAGCGGCAATCTCGACCGCAAGGTCGCGTACAACTATAATCGGCGACGCATAAACGAAACATCAACGGCGTGACTATGTGTGTTAACCTCATATGATTTGTATTCATATTTGGCTGGGTATTGGAAATATGCATAGCCTTTTGTACAAAGGGGCTTAGTTTTTAAATGTTAATAAATGTCATCTTGTTTCTAGAGTTTATTCTATATATAAAATTGCTAAATGATACAGCAATTGCATTAAAAATGTTTTGCTGACTTCATTATCAATTTTTTTATATAAATGTGTACAGAAATATGTCATGACTATATTTTATAATACATAAATGATAAACTTCCAAGTAGTTTGGAACAATTAAATAAACAATTAAATTCTTCAAGATCACATAGACACCCATTGAATAACAGAAGCAATATTTTTTACACTAGTAATGAGATGTCAAAATGAAACCTAAATCTAGATTCACATACTTTTAACAGATATTTATTGATCAAAGTATTCATTAATGTTTAGTTCATGTCATAATGCAATAAAAAAAAATAAAAGATTTTCTTAAAGAAATAAAAGAAGTTCTTTCCTCTTGAAACTGTTTGTACTTTGATGTTGGTGATAGTTTAATGATTTTGTGCTGGTGGTTCATAAGATTATACTGCTCTAACAAGTATATATTATACTGCCCATCCATAGTTTTACAATTTGTTAGGAAATTATATAAACATTTTAATCTCAATGAAATAAAATATGCAAGTCTGCTGTAGGAATACCACTCATGATATACACCAAACACTGTTTAATATAATATTTCTTGCAGATAATCTGCACCACCCCTTTTAAACCAAGAACCCTATATTAAAGCTAAAAAGTACAGTGGAATATATATTTTCAACTTATACTCATTATCTAATAACAATAACTAAATTTTAAAAAACTTGGAGAAATTATCCTACCCTACTTATTATATTATTTACTGTAATCACTAGCAAAACACCACAATAAATATAAATAAACTGACAACTTTTGGGCTTACAGTACCATTGCCAACCATCCTAAAATAAGACAGGAGCCACCTATAGGTGTTAGACGACGGAAGCAGCGATCCCCAGTGAATGCATGATAGTAACATGTACCACAGAATAAACCCATTCCTGCCACGAAGAATGCCCCAGCCTAAAAATATAAAAAGAGATTCTGTGTGATATAGTTTTTAAAGTCTTCTAATTAACTTTTGGATAGAGATGAACTCTTATTAAATTAATTATTAAATCGATGTAATATGTTTTTGCATAACAATACCACCTACCTGGAATTATATAGAAATACCAGTCACAAATCTAACCCTGGATCTCAGACAACCTTACTGAACTTTGAACCTTGAGGCACTCTGCCATAAGAGTTAGTCATAATATAGTTAAATTGTTTTTAGCAGATTCCTTTATCAACTTTATTAAAAATACCAAGTAGTCTTAACTTACAATATAAGGTCTTCTGCAAAGGGGCACAGTCATCAAAGCCAGGGTATGAAGGAAGTGAAATCTGTTTGATGTTTCAAAGATTTTCTTAAGGTCTTCTTTATTCTCAGTCTCTGGGAAAGTTCGATGAGCCCCCATAGCACCGAGCACTACCGCGCTCGCACCACTTATGCCAGCAAGCCTCACAAAGGGCCCAGCTGCCTGTGCCAGCTCCCAAAGCGGCATTTTGACAATAATTGGTGCAGGCGTTGACGGTACTGATTGTTGCGATTTAAATATACCCTGAAGACCACAACCATATTCATTGTTTTATGAATTATAAAAAAGGCATTGTTACCAAGTCAACTAAGTGTGATAAGATAGCAAATAAACACAGATATACTTCCAAATCGACAAACGAATTGAATTAAGTAATTGGACTGAAAAAAGATTTGAAACTTACGATATTGCGTAATAAACTCATAGCTCCATCCGCCACCGTATTTAACATAAGTGCATCAACTAAATTTACCATACCTTATGCTTGTAATATCTTAGTAGCAGTATAAATCGTAAAATTGTAGTTTTAGTATTTCCAAAAAGACGGAAAAATTGATTGACAAGAAAAATGACAATGACAGCTCTGTGAATGACAGCTAGCGTTGTGCCGGATTAGCACAGAATACAATTGCTAAGGATATCGATATCGACGATATATCAGTAAACCGATATATAAAGATATATACCAACGTATTGAGACCTAATATCGTATAATAATAATAAATAATCTATTATTTGACCTTCATTTTTTGCTGTTAAGTTGGTAGTTGCTTTTTATTATTTTTTTGTGTGCTTAATTAGATAAAAATGTGTTATTTTCAATCCAATCTCAATATTTAAAATGTCTTTGAGACATTTTATCTTTGTCACCACGAACGTGCTTTCTGTACGCCTTTTTACAAAGTCTGAGCCACCATCACATGAAATAGGGACAGTCCCTAAATTCATTATGTAGAGTTTTTATAATATCATATAAGTTTCTGATAAAACAATACTAATATATCGGATTAGATAAGGTTTCGGTATATAGATAGTAAAAGGACGAATAACACTGATATTAGGAGAATAGGATAGTGTCACAGTGGTGAAAATAAGTCATAAAATTCCACATAAACACAAAATTTACATTGGAATAGATATAGTTTATCGAATATGATTTATACAATCACCTATTATAAAATCAAAATTATTTATTCAGTCTAGGCTGTTACAAACACTATATATATATATATATATATATATATATATATATATATATATATATATACATATATTCTGTATAACACGTGAGCTCAAGGTCTCTATTCTGTATAATGTTATCGTGATAGTGGCATCTACCTTATTGACGCTTTAATTAATGGCAATTTTCCGGCATATCTTCGACCTAGGATTCATTTTTCGAGAAGAGACAATATAGAACTTAGAGGACTTAACTGTGAAACACAGACAATCCGTGCTTATCATGTGCTATATGGTAACAGTGATATAGGGGTAAAGGGCATTATAAAAAATACTATAAAAATAATAGAAAGGGTAGTGTGACAAATGCTATAGAATTTTTTTTTTGCGCAAAACGACTTGGTCATTATGAAATAATGAATACCGCAAGGATGATGACAAGTAGTTGTCGAGATAATTAAATAAAACGATATATTATTTTAAGTAAGACGTTTTATTTTACGTATAAAAATATTTTCACGGAAAAAACTTAGCAATCATTCATTTCACTTCATTAGCGAATTTCGTTTAGCACCATACAAAAGTCTGTTCCTATCACATTTTAGTCACAACATTAGAATCAGTCACTTTAATATAACTGTCTTTATATTTTGAAACGGATAACAACACTTAAGGGGTTTTTCCAACGTCCACACTAGTTTTCGGACAGCAAACTCCAGCATATCTGAAATAAAAAAGGATCATAAGTTCGAATTACACTACTGAACTTAAAATAAAGGACTTTTTTGTCTACAATGCAAACTTGTGTTGTGTTATATAGACAAGCTTATTTTATATTATTTGAGTTCTGATAGTGATTAACACTATGCGCTCGTATTATAATTTGTTTTTTGTCATACTTACTTGTCATTCACGACGCAATAGGTATTGCTGTACGATTCAGCAGTGATTGTTTGCGCGGCGGTACAGCGCGTAAGGTATACGCACACACCGGGTACACCGTCAGTTGCGACAGCACAATCAGGGTCTGAAGCATCGGCAGGCTTTGGCACCTATGTAATCAACAGGATAATAATTTAGCTACATACTTAATTTCCTTAATAATAGAACTAAAGATAATGAGTTGTGACGTAATATAATCAATCTATTTCAATGTAATTAGATAATTACAGTGTTTAAAACAACAACAATAGTAAAAACATATCTACAAATAATATGTGGAGTTGTTTATTCTAAAGCTGAGCGGAATCTAATATTAAAAAATAAATTATGCCGCATTAAAACCTGGTTACCATTCAGGAGCTCTATTTTTGAATCATTCGTCTCGCGTCGAGCACTCGTTTTCCACTGATGTTGAGTATTTTTCATAATGCTCCATTAATCAATAAGTCCATAATAAACATGAATAAACACAAAATAATGAATTCCATGGATGTTTATTTAAAACAATCGTCAACTTTTAATGCTCGTGGTCTATATAGGTACGCGTGAATACAAACAAATTCTTTGAGCAACATTTCTAACGAATATTTATTCATTATATCGTGTAAAATACCTGAAATAAAGTTTCATCCTCTATTTTATCCCCTTAGTTATTGAATTTATCAAAATCCTTTCTTAGGAGATGCCTACGTCATAGTAGCTTTATGCATGCGGAGTCTCAGCCTTATCGGCTAAAAATTTATTGAATTCATACAAACTTTCATCCCCTATTTTAAGGGGTAGAATTGATCAAAATCTTTTCTTAGCGAATGCCTACGTCGTAACATCTACCTGCATGCCTAATTTCAGCCCGATCCGTCCATTGGTTTGGGCTGTGCGTTGATAGATCACTATGTCAGTCAGTTACCTTTGAGTTATATATATATATATATAGATATGAAATTTCAAGTCTGTTGTGAACTTACGTCATCCTTAGTTAATTGAAGTGTGACAGTGGTTGAATTAACTTGTAGCGTAACAGCATCTTTAGCATCCAGTAATGGTCGAATCCATGAGTAGTCTTGTAGATGATAGACCATCAAAACATCTGGTCTCGGCGCCGGTGTAGTAATAATAGGGAAAGCTGTACAAAATATTTTTATTCCCAAAGTAGTACATTATCTTAGTCTGTAGACCCGTTTTTATAATTATAAATAAATTATGATAAAAATAAAGAAATTATATTTAGTCCGTCAGTCAGATAATAGAAAAATATTAGATAATTGTTTACTTTAATTTAACAAGAAATAGCTTAGACAACAGGCATTAAATTTGAGGAGTGGGAGCTCGTTACGTCATAGTTTTGTACATTTTAACTCAATTTAATAATTACGAAAAAATAGAAAAAATACCTGTTTAATATTTCTCAACAATCTACCTGATAGACAAACAAACAAAATAGTCGTCATCCCTATTTATATGTAATTAGCTTAATTAGCATTTGACAACACCGCAGTGGAGCAAGGCCTAAAGGAAAATGCCTATTTTATGAGGATACAAAGACCAACCCATAAGAAATTTTGTTCTATTTAAATAACAGTTAGAAGATATCTTAATTAATTTTTGAGAATGAAAAAATATCACACTAATAAACTTTATTTGCATATTCAAATTTGGCAAATTTATACCTAAAACGATTAGGAATATCCTATAACGTAGGTAGGGTACATTTTGCGAGGCTACCCAATAGCGCTAGAATTTAAGCAAAAAAAAATGAAATAAAATTATAATTTTTAGACAGTTATGTTAACAACATATTCCTGATTTCACGAATTTATGTTATATTTTAATAATAAATCAAAGTTTATTGATAAAAAAAGTTTTGCATATGGATTTTTCAAACTTTTCTAACTTAATTTAGCTATCAGGCACTGGTCTTTTGCACCACGTAGCCGTGGACGGTAGCCCAACACCGCCTCTGTAGTCCCAATTAATTAATTAGGTATGGCGGCTCCAATTTTACACAATTAGACATTTTTGTCGATTTACCTACTCTTTAGGAGCTGAGAAAAGAATTGGTTCTATGTTTTATTTCTATGCGGAATGTGTAATTAGTTTAATTTATTTTTATTATCCATTATCTTAAGTAAAATGAAAACGGGACTTAACGGAAATAAGATTAAAATTTAAAATATTATGGGGCAAAAAAAAAATACAGAAGAGAGAAGATAAAACAGGAAAGATAAAGCAAAAGATATAAACGTGACGGAGCATGGACCTCAAGGGCGTCGCCAAGGGCGGGGCATGAGGGGCAGCTGCCCCAGAGATTCTAAAAAGTTGCCTAATGTAAAGCAACCAAAGTAATTGTTCACTTACAAATTCTATTATTACACTTAAATACACTCTCCTCTGTGCTATTGTTAAAGCAGTAGAAGGGGAATGGTGTATATTCAAACTCCAAATTATTTTTATTCACATTTTCTAATTAATTCTCCTTAATCAACATGCCCTTTCCCCCTCGGGCCATCGGCTGGCGAATACCTGATGGAGCTCCCTTAATTATTATATAACAATTAAAATAAGTAAATCATAAAATTTGCTGCAAAATATCGAGGCATCATGTTGAAAAAATACTATGCTAAATAACAATCAATTTTTAAATTAAGGCAACATTTTGTATAGGACAAATAACCCGCTTATTTACTATAGCTTATGACGAAGTTAATCGGAAAGAAAGTTTTTTACGTGACGGTATGTTTTGTGGGTATACATCAGGGCTACCACCTTTTAGGAAACAAAATTCGGGACATTCGGACGGTCAGATGTAATCGATTTTCAGTCCAATATTGATTCTTATTATCATCAAAAGTCTGCAGGAAAAATGCAAAATACCTATTCTGTATTATTTAGACATAATGTCTGCCTGATTTATTTTTTATTTAATTCTGAAAAATTATAATGAGGAATCAAAATTAAATCATGTTACATTAACTGTTTGTAAAATATGTCAAATTCTTTTATTTAATTTACTTAATGAGCGACACCATAACAGATCATGTATTTTAACCCACTTTTGTGTTCTTACTTACCTATATGCATAGATGCCATATGAAAATTCTGTATACTTGTCTGGCTCTTTGAGAAGACTGCAAAGTAATTAATTAAGTAAATTGAAAAAAATAAGCTTAAAGAACCGAATATAGTTTTTTGTGTCAAATCCAGCCTATATTTGTAGGCTACATAAAAGTTTATCTACCTAAAAAAACATTTAACTTTCATCTCTCTTAATAATTTTGATGAGTGTATTTTTTATTTCCGATAAAATATAATACTGAGTTTTTAAAACCGTTCAAACTCATTAAATAGGTTTACAAAATTTTGTTTTTATGAGATATGTTGATGTTTCATATGAAAAGAATAATGAATAGACAAAATTTAAAGCAGCGCAATAATGTTACTGAATTGGAAGCAAAAACATGATGCCATAATATTCTGCGGTTTTCATGAAAGCGAAGTGAGTATTAATACTCGTGACAAAAATGTGCATTATTTTTAATGAAAAATGCTTAAAAAATCCACTTTGTCCCTTGCACTATAAGATGGGACTCGAACCCAAGCAGTCGCCCGGATTGCGAAAGGTCACAGGTTCGAGTCCCGTCTCAGAATGCTAGGGTCAAAGTGAATTTTTTAAGCATTTTTCATTAAAAATATTTTTCAGTATAGGGTGGATTTCCCGACACAAAAAATTGCGTGGCATCGATGAAATCGGTATTAAAAAACCTAGTTATAACGTTCTAATATTTTTTTCTGATTAGGTGAAATAGTGAATTATGTGGAGCACTAAATATTACATTAATGGAATTAATGAGTATTTACTTAAAAATTACTAAACCTTGAAATATTTCATTCCCGTGTTTGTCCACAATCCACCTTGATTTGTATTATACTTGATTGATAAAAATCTATTGGTTATTTATATTATATCATACTTTTATTTCATACGTGAATAGTTAAAGTATTGTTACGGAATACATTTATTCAAATATTTAAACAATAAAACGAATAGGCAATAAAAATCCATTTGTCCCAGAACTTCCTTTCATCGACGTGGCCTAAGCTTGTTTTAGTTTTTTTTTTATCTAACGGCGTGCGGTTACCCATTTTGTGCGCTAAATGTATGTATATTAGTGTCGCCTATGTGCCCGGCCTGGAAGGACTTACATATGTGCCTGCGTTTTCGGGCCATAAATGTAAGTATTCAGTTTTTCAATCACTGGACACTTTTTCTTTCATCGACGTGTCTAGGTATAACTTCTATTTGAATAAGTTTATCCTCTTGATTAAGTATTCTGATATTCGCCATTTCTGTTCTGTTTATTTGTGAAATATTTATAACGTCGAATAATTAATACATTTTTTGTTATTTTATATTTTTGCCTTGGTTTTCATCGCTATGCTTTCATTTCCGCGGTTTCCGTGGGCAAAATTTGCTATGGTAATGAAAAAAAAGACACGGAAATGAAAAAAAAATCATTGCCATGCCTTGTAAAACAAGTTAGTTTCATTGCCGTGGTCAGATGTTTCATTTCCGTGACTTTTGTTTTCATCGCCATGGTATGGTTAAGCAAAGAAAACATCTTTACATGTAATACAGGTGATGAGTTTTACTGTACAGTCAACTACAAAAAAATGTTTCCACGTGAACCATAAATATTGATCTTTAGATACCCTAGCACACGTATACAGCGTGTAAAGGAACGAACAAAAACGAAGAGAGATGGTGGACTAGATTTTATCTTTAGACTTTAAAAATGTTATCGTTTTGCTTTGCATTGATGTGCAAATTGAAAAATCATGTTGTGTTATGTTAGTTGTTTGTAGTTCATGCAATTGCTATTGCATCTTTTGAAAATCCTATTTGTTAATATTTTTTCGTAGAAGAATTGAAATAAATGATTCTGCTTTTATTCTATTAACTTTTTACTCCTTTACCTTTTACGCAGATAAATTACAAATAGGTACTTAGTTCGCAAAATATAATATCATATTTTGTGAGCAGGTGTAGTTAGTTCACTATAAAAATAATATTAGGAGGATAGTAAACATTGTGAATCAAGTGTAAGTTTATAAAATATTAATTACGCATGTTTAATATGGATTTTCATTTCCGTTGATTGATTTCATTGCCGTGGCACACAGTTCTTTCATTGTCGTGGACTTTTGTTTCATTGCCGTGCTTGCATATTTCATTGCCGTGGCACGAGATTTTGAAACTAGTATATCTAGTTCAGTTTTTAAGTTATCTGTTAGATATTAAGCAAGAATACATATATTATCGAAAACTTTAAAAAAACGTTTTCGTTTTCTTTAAATCTTTAAAGAAAAAAAAATCCATGGAAATGAAGATTTTAAGGGACTTGTTGAAATTGACCCTATAGCATTGTGAATGCAAAATTGATCAAATATAAAAATGTGCAAATTTATAAAGCTTAATATTTCAGTATGTTGAAATAATGAGGGTATAGGTACATCACTTAGTACCCACTGCGGAGGTCAGATGCTGGAACTATGCTTCTTACATATTCTTGACATTATCTTTATCTCCAATTAACGACCCAAATTACATTAGAATATTAAATTCTTTTATCAGTCTTTAATTTATTTATTACACTCACCACGATTTTCTTTGTTGTGACTTGTACCCGAAACCCTAATATTGGCACGTAAATATTCTTGCTTAGGATTAAGTAGAAGCAGGGTACAACAGGGTGTACCGATTAAACAAAATTTTGAAAGTAATTATGATATTTGACTCAATTATTGCAAATAATTGCTATTAGGTCTATTAAAAAAAGAATATGGTAAGGCGAAATGTGCCCACAGAGTACAGACCGTGCTATTATAGAGGGCATGTATTGCTTTGAGTTATATCACACGATTGGCAGAAGTATGGCAGTAAAAGGCAAAAAATTGCAGGAAATGCAAAAAATCGGTATATATTTATGTTTGAAGATTGAAAATGGTGTACTTCCAAAAGTACACCATTCTTGAGGTGAGACTGGCACACCCACCCGTGTGTTGGTATCACATAGGTACAACATATACCTACACGATATAGATTCTTACCTGCGATCTGCGATGTCGTTTGCATCGCGTCGGAGTAATCAAAACTATCTTCTAACACGTCTGACTGAATGACTGCGTCTGCTGACATTAATGATGATGATGTTTTATGGACAAAACTATACACTGTTTTCTCTGTAAATAATACCTAAGTCTCTGGAGATCAGGCATGCAAGAGTACAATTTGGAAAACAAACGGTAAATGGTGCAACTGTCTAGCTCTTTAGCTATAGGATACGACATAGCGATGTTATGTCTATATTTCGTTTCATTTTACAACTTTGTCATGTAAGTTGAGTAGCGACGAACGAATAATAAATAATGGTGATTAAATATGTGACAGAAGTGTTACCAGCTTAAACACCAAGAGACGTGTCAAAGTGCCGTGGCCTCATATAACACGCGTGGTGATTTATTAGTTTATTACAAACGAACGCCACAATGACAAGTGTTGGCGGTAAGAATGTTGCCAGAGCGCAATCTACAATTTGTAACACAAAGTGGTAAAATAAAATAATATATCGACATAACCGACTAAACATCCCCAATATGTCGTATCCTATGGCTAGAGTTGAGAGGTGGGCATGTTATTTTATATGAAATTCAATTTTTTTTGTTGCATTTGTTTAGTGACTATAGATTTCGACAATAGCCCACTTCACCTTTGCTATGCGTTTAAATATGTTACTGAATTTTTATTTAATGATATTGACATGCAGATGAACAGATTACGATTTATGGACTAAAATAATAAAAAAAAGGAAACTGTACGGCAGTAACAAAAAAATATCTATCATCATATAATTTGTCAAAATATATCTTAAGCAATTGAACAATAATGAAATCATAGACTTATGTGTTATAAATCTACGAATAAAATAATGTTGTTGATATTTTGTAAACCCATTTACGCTAATATATAATAGCTTGGAGTGGTACTGCAATTATTTAAATATTTATACTACTCATCATGTTACCTAACCATACTTGTAAAATCAAGTCATTTTAAATATAGCTAATGTGTCGATTCTCGATAGTACCTACGTTCATATATACTAGTTGCTAATGCTTTCATTTTAAACTATTAGTATTTGTACAAATATAAAACTTAGGACTTCAGGTTTTTATTACTTGTTTTATTATTTCAGTTATAGTCAAATACAGTGAGTAGACAGTGGAGTATCCACATGGTTTTGTATATTATGTACAATATATATATAAAAGAAACTTTATGAAGACGAAATTTCAGAAAACAAAAAGTAAGATGGTTGCATATAACTCGTTAATTTGATAAAAACTGAATTAGGTCCAGCTTCCATACACGTCGAGATTAGCCATGAAATAGAGTCAAGTTTAGTAAAGTAAGAATAGTAAAATGAGTTTTAGATCTGATGAAAATTCCTTTATAATTAAATTACCTGGTGGACCTGGATATGTAAACGATGAGGTGGCAAACACCGGTAGGGGTGCACCAGGTCTGGCGTAAGCTGCTGATGGTGCAAATGACGGGCCCGGCAAACCTGGCATACCGGCGAATCCAGCTCCAAATTCTGCACAAGCAAGAACATTATGTTTGCATTAAATTGAATAACTTTCATTGTTATTCAATATAACTTATTATACGGTCTGAAATATCAGCTGCATAAGTACTTTCCAACGAATATGATAATTATGCATCGTATAGTTATTTCGTAAAACATTGTATTCTAACTTAATCTTGTAGATAATACGATCTGTAAGATACTTTAATTGTTACTTAGTGAATAAAAAGGTTGGGTTATGGAAGGCACGTTAAGCCGTTGGTCCCGGCTGCATTTGCAGTCATTAATACCCTCCAATCCGCATTGGGCCAGCATGGAGGGTCATGGCCTCTCCTCCTTAACCATCCATAAGGAAGGCCTGAGCCCCTGCAGTAGGGACGTAAAAGGGCTGGTGTTGGTTGTGTTGGTAAGATAATAAAGACCATTCAATGTTGTTAAGATTATGTGATAAATCTACTTTTTTCGCTGTCTATACTTATTATATAAATATAAATAATAATACTTACGTAATCCACTTGGTACAGCTGCAGCTGAAATGTAAGACCAATCATATAATCTAGGTATATTAGGAAACTTTATTTATACTACCTATTATATATATTAAAATAAATGATAGCAGACTAGTTATCCATTTATTTATTGCACATGTACCTTGATTATATTAATCGACAAAAATAAGGTGGGTATGGTTTGATGCAATTATCACACATGACTTTATAAAATTATATTTTTGATTTCAAAAAGTTTGTGTAATTTTGTTAGAAGAAATTGAAAATGAAATATATATAGTCTATGTCACCTAGTGGTATGAACTTTAAGCTGGTAGTGACAATATCCTTCCCAATTGTGGAAGTTGGTAAGTACGGTCGTCGAAAGGAGAAAATTTAGTACAGTGACCCGGCATTACATCTAGCCAATTTTATAATACTAAAGTGAACTTAAAAGGTCAACGTACGAAGGTCTTTCTGTTCGATGCTATAGGTTCCGTCCCATCTAGGTTGAATGTTTTGATAGAATGTGGTTCCCTTCGATGCTTTGCATTGAGTTTTACACAACACGTGTATTTACCACCGTTATCAACTAGATAACTTTTATTAACATCTATCACAAATACTAACAGTAAAAATATCATTCATAGTAGAAAAATTTGCAAAATTCATTTTTAAATTCTACATACATAAATAAAATAAATAAGAGTACTCACGTATTGCTAAACCTCCTCCAGCTGAAATATAAGTAACTGAATTAATTAAGGAAATCCTGATATGTTATTATGTAGTTTATTTCAAATAACTAAAGATAAAAAGGTTTGACAGTACAACAGTAGTAAATTTGATTTCTTATTAAATATGTACCTATATAAATAACATAAACTAATATACATTTACAGTGTTATTGATAAACAAGGTTTAGCGTTGGAATAAATTTACGCTAAGACTGCACTTAATATTAGTCAAAATTCATAATATTAAATAGAGGCTTAACAAAGGTTAGTTACTTTAGTACGAGTTTCTACGGGAGTAATATTTAGTCTTAGAAGGTAGTAAGTTTACTTATTCTCTATATAATATGAATTTGGGCTAATACTAAAATTGCAATTTTAGCGTAAATTTACTCTGAGGCTAAACCTTGTTTATTAACAGCACTGTCAGCCAGTTGCACAAACGTCCATTAAATGTTTCATTAGTTTAAAGTGACATTACCCATACAAATTTGACATTCATTAGAGCTTAAAGGCGTCATTAAACCTTAATGAACGTTTGTGTAACTGACCGTGTGAGAGTTAAAACATATTAAGTGATAATATTAATAGTCAGTCATATGCAATTTTTTACTAGATATTTAAATAAAATATGATAAATATTCACCTTGTTTGTCAACGGATTCTGCATCGACATGGTCAGTAGCGTTGGGCTTTACTACCACCAAAGATGTCAATGGCGTCACGAATTCGTACTGTTGATAAAAAAATAGTTTACTGAAGTATAATTTATATATATTACTGGGTCATTGTACGAAATTTTATATGTTCGTCGTTAAATGAAATTCAATTTCAACTTTATTGCTTTTAATCTGGTTTACATAGTTAGGTAATTAATTTGAAGAAATGTTTTCATATATGAACACTGGCAAGTTACATAGCAATGTGAGATATAAAATTAAAATACAATTAAACGAACAAAATAATTCAAAGATAAATAATTAAGATATAAAATGAAAAAAAAAAATACAAATTATAGACTTTGTTTTCTCTAAAAACTATCATATTGTAGAATACTTTATTTAACAAAACCGTTAATTACCTAAGTAGGTAACTTTTATTTTAGATAACTAACAAATAAATTGAACTGTTAACGACGTTTACCTTGAGAGCAATAGCTAGGGCCTTCTTCTCCGGTGAGTCTTCCTTGCTTTGTTCACTGTCTCCTGAGTCAGCGGCATCACGTTCGTCTAGTAATTGCTTCACGGTAAGATGCGCCCATAGACGCTCCAACGGCAGGAACTTCTCTTTCTTTGCTGGTACCGGTGCTTTCGGCAGAATCTCCAATTGTTTCTAATCGATTATAATATAATACTATAAGTAATAATAACATAAAACAATAGAATATACAAAATTGCAATTTTGTGTTCATTTTATTAACTCTTAAATTACTAAAGATATTACTATTTATTACTATTACTATACTAATAAGTATGATAGTGTTAAACTTACCCTGCCTGAATCGTTCCAAACGCCGCAAAAAGCGATCACTTGAGGTGTCAATTCTGAAATGGTTGGCTCCAAGGCACCTGCGACGACCACTTCAGAGCCGCCGTAATATCGACGGAATTGATGTTTTGTCACGGAATTCTCTTTCACCTGCGAATTTTAGTAAAAATTAATGAAAAAAAATATATTAATAAGAAATTCACTTGGTCCCTGGTACCCTGAGATGGGATTCGAACCCGAAAGGACATTCGCAATCCAGGCGTCTGCTTTAACCACTGAGCTAACCAGGATCTAACAGGACTGACGAAATTTTCAAGCACTTGTTTCTTTTTCGCTACTAGTAAGCGTATTTTCAGCAATGTTCAGACAATCTACCCGAAAGAAATAAGTTCGTCTGAAAGCCGAATATATTATTAACGTCACATATTAACTTACTTGTAATAATTTTAATAATAAAAACGAAAACATGATTTATGTGTGGAAGATACACATACCATATTATATAGCGAATTACCTGCTTTTTAGGGTAAATGAATTTAACATCGGCGAGCAGCGGTGAAGCAACTTGGCGGTAGAAGTCACGCAGCTGTAGCGCCGCATCCGACGCCTCGTATATGTGGCGCATAAATCCATCGTTTTTGAGAGAAAGCTTACGCAAAAACTTACGATCGGCATCCTCACCTGGCACAGTAACATAAATCGACAACTTCATTTGTATTAATGACTATACATATTTTGATATTTATAGAATCATATAAAACACTATTAAAACAATATTCTAGTTAGTAAATAGTAAAAATTATTTTTTGTTTTCTATGAAAAGATTGACAAAAGACTACTCGTTTAAATCAGATAATACATTAACAGAAACATAATAAAAATATTTTGCAACCGTCGTAAAACAAATAAACATACCAAAAGCAAGCGAGAAGATTGTAGCTTTATTAAATCCAGTGTTCTTCTCAGTAAGATGATTGGTGATGCGTGTGGGATCTGTCACGCCTACTGTTGGATCACCATCGGTCAAGAAGATGATGATAGGCTCTAACTTCTCAGATTCTACGATAATAATAAAAAGTAGCTATTACTTTTTTGAAAGTTTGCTATACTAGATTGCTATTATTTTTAGTGAATGTTGCAGTTTGTAATATTGTCGTCAATTCTGTTGCACCACTATTTAAACGATATTCCGATAAGTAATCGAAAAAATATAATAATTCTCCGGTATACTATAACATACTCCTTTAGTGCTATTCTAATTAATATCATAATAAAAAACTTTACATGAGTATTGTAATTATAGTTTGTACAGTCATTCAGTATTACAGTCATTAGTCAGTACATCAAGTTTAGAAATACAGTGAAATGTTTGAATTTAATTTTTTTTCGCGGATTTTTTTTGTTTGATGTGTGCCACATAGGTATAATAATATTGTATTTATTGTTGTGTTGAATCTGAGTAATAAATATATATATTTATTCTTTCTCTCTTTCGGCGTTGTGAATGTGAATACTATAATTATTAAATGAAAGAACTCCGAACATTAATTATGCATCCAGTAAGACTCATGCAATTTACAATCAGCAATATTACTTAATTGCAATTTTCTACTGCACTATCGAGCAGTAAGTCTGGATATTGTAATGTCATTTCTTAAGAAGTTTTGATCATTTCACCTGTTATCTATTATTTAAAAACAAATTGACTCATGCAATTTACAATCAGCAATATTACTTAATTGCAATTTCCTACTGCACTATCGAGCAGTAAGTCAGGTTATTGTAATGTCATTTCTTATGAAGTTTTGATCATTTCACCTGTTATCTATTATTTTAAAAAAAATTGACTCATGCAATTTACAATCAGCAATATTACTTAATTGCAATTTCCTACTGCACTATCGAGCAGTAAGTCTAGATATTGTAATGTCATTTCTTATGAAGTTTTGATAATTTCACCTGTTATCTATTATTAAAAAAAAATGAATTAATTGTAATAATGTTTTGAAAGCATGGCTGTTCTATTTATTTATTTTCCATTTAGGTATAAACATTTACATGTTTTTTCGTAAATAAGCTGATAAAACCATTTGCAAACGTAAATATATTTTTACATTAAAAAAAAATAATAAGTAATTCTTATAAAATAATGAAAGCAAAGACAGTTATTGGTAAGCACAACATGCAATCTAATAAACTAAATATCAAATCATACCTAAAAAAGTAACCAAAGTAGTAAATCAGCCGTTATTATAATTAGTCCTATTTTTTAATTTTTTTTTACAACCAATTTTTAAGTCAGTCTTATTACTTATGTTATCATATTGTATAATCGACTCAAGCGTGAAAGTGGTGCGGTAGATCTAGAGTTAGTACGATGCATAAGAAGAGAGAACTACTTGTTAGACGAGTACGAGATATCAAGTCAAGGACATTACCAAGCATATATAATTAATAAAATTTATTAAGTAACTAGCTTTTGCCCGCGACTTCGTCCGTGTGGTAAAGTTACTTTGAGCAACATTTCTAACGAATATTTATTAATTATATCGTATAAAATACCTGAAATAAAGTTTCATCCCCTATTTTATCCCCTTAGGGGTATTTTTTATGAAATTACTTTTTTAGGGGATGCCTACGTCATAGTAGCTTAATGCATGCAAAGTTTCAGCCCGATCGTTTTAAAATTGACAAAGTTTCATACAAACTTTCATCCCCTATTTTATCCCCTTGGGGGTAGAATTGATCAAAATCCTTTCTTAGCGGATGCCTACGTCATAACATCTACCTGCATGCCAAATTTCAGCCCGATCCGTCCAGTGATTTGGGCTGTGCGTTGATAGATCACTATGTCAGTCAGTTACCTTTGAGTTATATATATTTAGATAGATAAAAATAACTATCTAAACAATAAGTGTATATGATTTAAAATCCCTGGTGTGTCGAAAGTATTTATCGTTTCAAAATTTTGTCTCTTTATTATGGAAAGTAAATATCATAGGAAATGAAACATCTATACGATATTGATTTATATATCATATGAAAGCTTTTAATTAATTACCTTCGCCAATTTCTGTGGTTGATGAAACAGTTGGCGTTGAAGCAGCAGTTGTCTGTTCCTGCACCACTTCCGTTGTGGTCTCATTTGCCTTTGGTGTCTCTGATGGTGTCCAACCTACGCCTTTCTTAATAAGATCTATTGCGACGTCCAAAGCTGAGTAGATATTCGTGCCTAAGAACAAGAAAATTAAAAATTTAAATTACAATTGCTAACTGGCCCCGATAATTATAATCTATTAAATTTACTTCTGGGTTGCGTTTGTTAAATAATAGTAACACTTCTGAACAAACCCCATGATATTTAATAGAATCAGGCGTTACTTCGGTTTTGTCGGTAGTCTTTTGCTAAATTAGGAAACTGTGATATCTAGCAACTTCCACTCTTAAGCAGTTTTTGCAAGACCCGCTGTGCACCACCCCACTCACCACATCAAATGGCAACAATCTTCGCAACCACCACTCTACACGTGCTTACAACAGGGGGCCAATTCTACTAAATAAATTTTGTTTAAATCGAATCGAAAATGGATCGAAAACGGATCGAAACCGAACGAAATTTCAGTTTTTAATGGTTTTCCTATTCTACAAAGCGACATACGATACAATTCCAGTTCTATTTTATATGGTTTCGATCCGCTTTCGATTCGATTTAAACAAAATTTATTTAGTAGAATTGGCCCCCTGGTCTTGCAGATACTGAGTGTCTGAGCTTAGAAGTTGCTAAATCATAGACTCTTTCTTTATTGATGCCACCTTATCATAATATAATTACGCCAATTTGTAAATACATACAAATCGATATGGATTCACACAACAGAAGGCGCCATTTTTATCATGGACAGGTAAGTTGTCGCTGTCGCATGTAGGTATTTTCAATAAATATAGTAGGTACTTAATATCTAAAATAACTTTTTTAGATGCGTGATCACATCACAGTTCTATATGAATGACCAACATATGGATTTTATCTCTTATCTTAATACCAATTGTTGATTTGAGGAAAGTTTTGTTATGGATACAGATACTGTTTTTGTATCACTCTAAAGAAGTTTATTGACATTTTGTTCAACACAATGTCACACTTTATTGGCGACGGCGTAAGTTTCACCTTCGTTCCAGTTCTGAGGTGCCCGCGTGCTGTTTGCATAAAAAGCAGCTAGTCATTGTTTCAGCTTAAAGAATCAAAACAAAGTCCTATTACCCTACTTTGCAGTAACTTTTATATTATTATTAACGTATTCAAAATAATATATTTATTTATACTAAAATTCAACAACACAAATATGTTACTTATTTTTATTGTCTGAATAGAAAATTTAAAAGTTTTATTTGTATAGCAATGAAACAAAAATGATATAGGTAATAGAAAGGAGTAGAATATAAAACACGCATACATTTCTTTCGGGACAACCTTAAACTTACCTCCATTGGCGGTTAGTCTGCTAACAATCACCTTGGCCTTAGCAATATTCTCGGGTGTAGCCTGTGAGGGGGGGAACAGCTTTGGTTTCGCATTATAGTCAAAGTTGTAGTAAAAATAGTCGTTTTGTTGAACTGGTTCTTTGTCTGCCTCCTTCATTTCGTATACCTTTGGGGAAAACAATACAATTTGAGAAAAGAGAAACAATTCACGTTAAAAAATGAGCTAATAAGACTCGTTTAGGCGTAAGAGGTTTCATTGAATAAATTCTTAAAATTTTTCATTATAAATAAGAATCTAATATGCGTTGCGCATTACAAGTAAAATATATTTTGAAATATGCACAATTGCACATCGATTTTAAATTTCGGCCCACTATAAAATTAGGAGAAGATTTAAATATAAATTGTTTTAGAGGTTTAGTTGGCTCGAAATTGTGTTTATAAAAAAGTAAGTTAGCTTAAACCTTTACCTTAACCGTAGATGCGAATTCAACGATGCTAAAATAGTCGCCTTGGTTTAGTTCGCTAAGAATTGTTTGCATGGCCTCACGGAGTTGAACTATTTTGCGGTCCATCATAGAACCAGAAGTGTCTAGTACAAATACCACATGTTTGTTCAGTGGTGGCAAATCGGATGGAGCATAGAAATGCACAAAGTAGCCGTCATTCACCTGGACAAAACAATGAAGATTTATTATTGAACTCAAAATTTCTTTTATTTTTTATGTGAATAAGTAATTTATTTTTACGTGAATAAGTAAAATTACGTATAAAAAGTACCAAAATCTCTCCATTTTTTGGTCGCTCCACGTCGTATTGCACCACGAACTGTCCAAGAACACCATCAGTATCTTTATTATCATCGTCTTCGGAAGGATTGTAGCCGAACGAATACGAATGAGAATTAGCACGAGTTTCTTTTGATTTCTCTCTGTATATTTCTATTAGCCTCTTTTGTTCTTCTAGATCGGGCTTAAACACAACTTTGGCTTCACGATCATTATTAGTTTTTTCAATGACAGCTTTAGTATTTTCTGGAACAAAACGAATTATCTTGCTCAAAGCTTTGTTGCTATTTTTTGTATCCAAAGATACATTTTGTACCTCTAAACACTGTGTTATTATACTTACGTGCGTCCTGTTCTGTAGCGTCGATTTCATTGCCAGTCCTGACTTCTGGTACTCTCAAAGTGGTGATCTTTTGACCTTCCTTGATATTAACGGTGACAGTGAGCTTGGGTACCAGGGCACCGGGATGAAGATTGATAGCGTGATTATAAACTCCATTACGACGTACTAATAACTCTTCATATGTAAGGTTGAAAATTATCACCGTATTCGGCTCTACATTCACAGATACAGTAAACTGGTTGGAGTCACGTGCTCTAAAAATGGCCATAATTTTTTTTATTAAAAATATTAATCAGCATAGCATTGTTAATATTGATAGCAAGTGAGTGACAAATTATAAAGTATGACAATACTAATTTTTAAGTCATTTTTTAGAAATTACTTTGCAGTCACGTGGCCGGCGCTCAGTCCTTGTGATACAGCTTGATTATAAATTTGTTTTGCTTCTTCCTTCTCTTTTACGTAAGCTTTGTACGCTTTGCCATCGATGGTCCTGTAAGTGAAGTGCAAAAATTCACCAAAAACTTATGTTTATTTCAATAGTATTACATATTAGCTTTGGATCTACTTAAGATTAAATAATTAATACAATAATAACGACATGATCATACTTTCAAACGGATGACTGAACATAGAGACAATACCTAGGGTGCGACCGCCTAAATCTAGATGTAGGATACGACCTCTTATCGATGTTCGATACTTTGTTTCATATTACTAATTTAACATGTACTTCAACAACGACTAACGAATGCGAAAGAATAATGATTATGGATCTGACAGCAGTATTACCAAATTAGTCATTTATCCACCAAAAGACTGGTGAATGTAGTAAAACAAACGAAATATCTCCACAATATCGCTAAGAAGTCGCGTCCTATTGTTTAAAGACATGGCTAGAGAGTAACGAAAACACTCCTGGTCCTAAGATAGCACGTATTATTTACGAAATTCGACATTGATACAGAAGTGACGTAAAGTTATTTGTTTTCATAATAAAAAATCTTTTAAAAAATATCAAACAAGATATGAAGTTACTTTAAAAATATATATCGCACACCTAGATCTAAACTGAGACAACTCAAAAATTTGAGTAAGTTTTGACTTAGTACAATGTTCAAATATTTGGTGATCATTCGCAACTATCCAACACAACAGGTTCAGTAAAGATTCGGGGATGAGCCGCTAGATAACTTTAGCTTTCTTTTGTTGAATCAACAGTGGTCGCGCTCCTGCCACCTAAACAAATGTATTGTCAGACCTCCACATTAGTTTTTTGAGTTGTCTTAGTTTAGATCTATGTATGCGATACATTTTAAATTATCTTACATGGTGAAGCCGCTAATGAAAGCTGTCTCTGGCAGCAATACCCTAAACGTAGCTTCCTGGGCGCGCTTCGCTGGATTCCTTACACTCGTTACCACCGCGGTGTTGGCGTACCGCAGCGCTATGTTCGATGTTACATCCATATCAGTTAATTTGATGGGAGGTACAGGCTCTTCAGTCGTTACTTCAGTAGGAAGAGCTGAGGTAACCTATAAATATTCATAATCTTAGTGTATTTTAATCTATACCCTTCATTGTATTGAAGGTACAATAGGTATTTTTGTTTAATAAAATCTTCATTGTGATTCTCGATGGTGATAGCGTCTGTGAAATTATTCTAAAAAGCGTGAAATATGACGTCATAGAACTTAAAAACACTGGTCTAGTTCACGTCGGACTCGCGCATGAAGGTACCATTATCTATAGAAACAGTTCTTGCGTATGTTACCACGCACACCTTAACTAGTGAACAATTATAATGTATTTAATACACACAGTTAGAGTGGACCTTGGGACAGTGTTATCGCCAAAAACCGAATTCCACGAGGGCTAATCCCCGAGCTTCAGATAGCGGTAGCCCCACATTGGCCACCGATATAAGTTGTAGGTAAAAAAAATAATTATAATGCACGGAAACGGAAACGGAATTATTATGAGTTGGATGTTATTCGGAGAGTGAAATCAAAAACTTACCGTAGCTCCGTCATCTGACCTGGCGACCACCATGGTGTCCTGAGTAGGCACCACCATAGAGCACACTGAACTTGCCAGGATGCAGATACAACCCAGCACTGGCTGCCATTGCGGCCTCATATTGAAAATATCTAAAAATTAAAAAAATATATCTATGTATATATATATGTAAGCAAGCAGATTCGAAATCAGAATTTTACAGAAACCAGAGCCATTCCACAATATTCCGAGTGTTCGTTTTAGTGGATAAATAAATCAGGGTAACTATAATTTAAATTCGACTCGAAGGACCATGTTGATGATCTATTCTGGTCAAGCTCTATTGCTTGCACTCATCATTTTACCTCAACAAATAAAGGAAGAAGAGCCCGCTGCTATTATAATAGCAACTTGGTACATTATAGTATAGTAAGCTTATAAGAATAACGTTTCTAAAGCATTTTGAACCAACTACAAAAAAGGATGTTCTCTGTTTGACCTGTATGTATGTATATTTGTGCGCGATTATCTCGCGTTTGGCTGAACCGATTTTGAAGCGGTTTTCAGCGTAGTATTTGTCAAACTTAGGAGAAGGTTTTAGGTATATTAACCGACTAAAAAATGGAGGTTCGTACTTTAACACGTGTTGTATGTATTGTCCGCGATTATCTCAGGTTTGGCAGAACCGATTTTATAATGTGAGAACTTACCTCTTCTTCAATTTAGTATTATTTTATTTAAATATTATTATGTAACAAAAAAGAACCTCGCACGCTAGTAAGTAATACTTAATTTTCAACGGAACTCCCCTATTCCAATCGTGTAACATTTTAAATTATGCAAAGCTCATTATTTATAAATAATTGGCTATTACCTCAACACGGATATAACATTGAAATATCATCTACCTTGAGGAAAATCCATATTCTTCTCCTATGAGTATGGAAGGGGCGTTTAAAGAGAAACTGATTAGGTATACTTGATACTTAGTACCTATCCAAATTTTGACTAGATAACTTTTTTTCTGTGTTCTGCGTGTACATGACTTTAGGTAAATTCCAACCTATGATTGATTCCAACTAACATTACGTACTATGTGGAATCTTTCGTTTACGCCTGAGCAGACTATTGAATCTACATCCGACTTTGACGCACTATTGATTAAGCTTTTTAAAGAAAACGCATTATATTTTTTAAATTTTACATATATTAAATTTTTTGAGTTATAATTTTTATAATTTTTTGAATTTGAAAAATGATTTTATTGGACACAATTAAATATTGGGTACAATATTGTATTCTTCTGGAGAGTTATAGTTTCTTAATATTCCATAAAGTTTCTAACATGGTTTGTAGAGGGTAATCTTTTGAAATACTGATTCGATCATGAAAATTCCTTCACTACAAGTTACGTAGACGAAGTCGCGGGAAAAAAACTAGTGTGATAATAAAGACAGTTTCTAAAAACAGAATTTTCGACCAGCTTTGCTATTATGTCAGAATAGCTCACAACGACCTCGACCAAAGAAACACAGTACTGTGACGAGACCAGCTTTATACTCTGTTAATAGGTACCTACACTGTCATATTGTTATAAAAAAATCCAGAGTATTATATTCTGTAATATTAAACTCAAAATGTAACTTCAGCTTCAGAACAGAATGACGGGGACAAAATAGGTGAGAAACAATTAATAAATACATATAAATATTGCTTATTAATCTTGTAAAGTCGAAATAAATGTTTTGGAATAGTTTTACGGTAGAATTCATTTAGGAACATATGTTTCGATTATGTTCAAACGAAAATATTGTTTAGTAACATAACAAACAATTACTGTCACATATTCGATGATAACCTTAGGTACCTAGTTATTCTAAGTAGCGCCGTTATGCAACTGAATGGCTCAGGAATAATAATTAACTCATAATCTATATATATTTCAAATTTTAGAAAAATTAATACTTAACGCCGGCGCTGGCTCAATAAAACTTGGCGCCCTTAAAAAATCGCAATAAAGTAAAATACTTAATTATGCTTATGAACAAAGTAACTAATTAGGTACTGTAATCTGATGATATTTTGAATACCGCGGATTAAAAAAAATTAGAGAAAACATAATTTGTTTGCCATGCCATGTCGCCCCCCAAATTCGAGCGCCCTAGGCAGTTGCCTAGTTTGCCTATACGGACGGGCCGGCCCTGAGCACTTATCTTAAACTTAAAAGCGACTTAATTATTTAGGAAACTGCTATTGAAATCAGGCGGAGGTTTTATGTGGCTTGGTTATTAAGTGATGATTAACCGCCAGATTACAATAGCACAATTAAATAATAAGGTCGCTTTTAAGATTAGTATTATTTTTCATTTGTTGTACAACCTAATAGTTTTTTCAATACATATTTAATATAAATTCACGAAGTAATCGATGACCATACCTACTTAAATAAAAAACCTCTATGTAGGTATAACATCCATGGCGTTGAGCGTGGCTAACATTTTATAACAAAAAGTAAATAATAATTGATCAGGGGGCCAATTCCACTAAATAAATTTTGTCTAAATCGAATCGAAAACGGATCGAAACCGAACGAAACTACAGTTTTTAATGGTTTTTCTATTCTACATACGATACAATTTCAGCTAAAATAGAATTGGAATTGTGTCGTATATCACTTTGTAGATTAGGAAAACCATTAAAAACTATAGGCGTTCGGTTTCGATCCGTTTTCCATTCGATTTAAACAAAAATTATTTAGTAGAATTGGCCCCCAGTACAGAATGTATTCCTAGTTTTATATAAGGGTCCCTGTTTAGGGGGATGGATAAGTCCACTGAGCCTTTTTAGCAGAACCGAAGGTCACCCAGCCTCCTGACCAATAGTTTAATGACATCAACAAACTTGTTACTCCAGCTATGTCGCTAGGAGAACCAGTCACGGATAAACGCTTATTACTTATATAAATAAATAAAAATAAACTGCGAATCATGTGCATTACTCAGCGTATAAATGTAAGATCTAAGATCTACTAAGTCAAAAATAAAACGGTCATTTAGAACTAATTCCTAATCGAGACGGCGTAAGAGTAAATTTTTTTCTTTCATCGGTTTAAACCTACCAAAAATTATGGTTCAATTAGCTATAAATTACATTAGATAACCACATCATTTTTCTAACACATATATTAGTCGAGTCGATATAAGTAATAACTTGACAAAATGGTATAAGTATTTGAATAATATAATAACTATTAATTAAAAAATATTTTTTGATTGCGAAATTGATTAAATATAATAAATAAAATAAGAACTGTTGATAGCTAATAATAACAATAAATTCTTACTATTAACAACTAAACTTCTACTTCTACAAATTCGCGTTTATTTGTTAAAATAATTTGCTACTATTAGGGCGCTTGTGCACTACACTGAATTTTCAGGTCCGGCGGTCCGATTTTTTCCGGTCCGGAATGACATGAAAAACTCGGATGAGTAGCTTGTGCACTTGTCCGTTTTTTTCCTGATCGGAGCGGCGCAGTGTAGGGCAGCTCTCTTTAAAGCTACACGTCTCTTACGCTAGATACGATGAGATTTTTGGAACGTTGGTAATTCCGTTCGAAGACGTAGAAAGTTGCCTAAATAATGATCTGATCGTTTTACATAAACCATAATAAATTATGGCAAGACGAAAGCATTTTGTTTACTACTGTCGGATGACTACTATCAGATGTAAAAACTTATACCCTAACTAATTTAGGGACAGCATTATTCACATACAATAGCTAAAAATATCTGTGACATTAGAATAAAATTACTAATAATGGTCTAGTACTTGATGTTTAAATTTTTAAACGTGTTATTTTTTTTCGAATTTTTGTAAATACAACTTTCAGCGATTACAGAGATAGACCAATCGGTGGCGCCATTTCGTAAACAAATCGAAATTAGTGCCGTGTTAGCGGAGAATTATTATGCTAAATGAACTTTACGAGATCATTTGACTGTATTATATATAGTCATAATTTTATACGCGTGGTGTAGTTACTTTGAGCAGAAATATAATCCCCTTAGAATACTTTTTTTAATTTTATTTTATTAATGACACAAACATACATTTAAAATTTTATTAAATGCGAAAAAGACATCGAGTGTCACTTAATTACTTTTGTCAATCTTCTGTTTATTCTTTATTATTACTTCTGTTGTCAAATATTTATCTATACTTATCAATTGTCTAAAAAAAATTTGATAATGACAAATTTCCAGGCAAACTTTCATCCCCTATTTTTCGCGATAAAATGTAGCCTATGTTTTTTCTTAAAGTTAAGTCTATTTACTATATTAATTTCCATTTAGATGGGTTCAGTTATTTAGGCGTCTAACAGTAACAACACTTATTAATCTTACCTTAAGCTATCTAACTTTAAATACGATTCTAAAATCTAGCTAAGTATCGATACTAGAACCATACGCTGATCGAATTAGAACTATACCGAGTTTGCCAAAGCTTATGCAGTGATATATACCAACTATATTAAATCATCATATAACATATAGCATTTTATAATCAACAATAAACATCGATTATAAGTTTATTGGAAATTAACAATATTGCCGAAATAAATATCGATTCAAATCGATTATTTTTTCCCAAGCCTATTCCTTATGAATTTTCCGGATCTCGGACACAGCAGTGCACAAGCGTAAACACGTTTTTCATTGCCGCCATCACGGACCTGAAAAAACCGGTCCGGAATAGAGAAAAGTAAAATTCCGGACGGTAAAATTCCTGACAGTGCACAAGCGCGCATTACGTACATATGGCCTGACATATCGGACCTGAAAAAATCGGACCGCCGGACATGAAAATTCAGTGTAGTGCACAAGCGCCCTTACAGTCAAATTCTACTAATAGATAAATAATATCGTTTTCCCGACAGAAAAAAAAATCACCATTTCCCTCTTATTTTTTTACATAACAACTCGCATATTAATTATCAATTTCGATAACAACTGACAATATACAAGTTGCAAATTGAGAATGTTAAGGGTGATTTTTTCTATTTCTTTCACAAGTGCTTGTAATAATAAACCTAGACCGAGTAAATAATCAGGAATTTTGTTGTTTAATTTTATTTTGAATAGAAAAAAAGTGGCGTAGTGGATAAGCGCCGCGGCCCGCGATCGTTGTCGTTAAGCAACTTTCGCAAGGGTCGCTCACGGGATGGGTGACCAAAAAATTATTATCTCGAGCTACTCCGTGCTTCGGAAGGCACGTTAAGCCGTTGGTCCCGGGTGCATTTGCAATCGTTAATACCCTCCAATCGCCAGGCCAGCGATGGAGGGTCATGGCCCATCCTCCTTAACTATCCATAAGCAAGGCCTGAGCCCCTGCAGTGGGGACGTAAAAGGGCTGATGATGATGATGAGAGAAAAAGTTATTAATTTACTTCTTCGAAATAGGCACATGCATATCTTTAAGTTAATTTTAATTTGATGCAACTTTTATGTACATTATTTCTTTATATCGTGGCGTTCAAAGGGGGAAGCCTATGTTCAGCAGTGGACGTTTTCCGGCTGATGATGATGATGATGATTTCTTTAAAAAAGGAATAAGTAAGACAAGAAAAGACGTAAATGAATGAGCCAAAAAAGCATAAAACTCCATTACAAAAACTAGTTTGGTGGGAATATTTTGATATTATAATTGTTTGAATGCAATATTTTTTATCTACCAAAACACAAATCAACTTAAAAGTAAAACAAGTTATATTGTTGTCGATGTTAACGTGTTATTGATTTATTATTACTTTGTAGCTGGCATATTGCATAATGCGTCGTTTTTCAAAACGACAGACGGACAGTCTTGTATGGGTACCAATCTAACTAAACTAAAGCTATGAATTAATATTATTTCTATATGTTTTTCGATGGATGCAAGGCTAGTTTATTTGTATACATGTTTAGGATCAGTAAATTTTGCCGATTCCAACATGGCATATTTAGGCCATAATAACTCATTATCGCTCAAAAATGTCGCTTAAACTTTTAATTTAGCCTTTCAACCCTAGACTTGTAAATTATGTATGTGATTGCGAATAGCTACAATTAATATATGTATAAGGTGTAATATTATTATGTGCCAAGACTTCGTGAAGTGGATGAGTTAAATATACTGAATAACTTTTACTTTGGGAGCAACGCTGAATTCACGAAATAATAATCTGTTGTCTCATACAAAATTGTAATATGTACAGTCGTCAACAGAACAGAACAGATGATTATTTTTTTATCAGGATAAAACCCACTGTGGAGTACCCTTTTGAGGGGGGAGCACAAAGTGAGCATTCCTAGCGTAAAAACCCTTTTTATAAACGCAAAGCAAACGCACCTTATGCCTAAAATCAAGACTCTCCAACCACTAAATATGTGTAAAAGTAAATATCATGCTCTGCAAAAATAAGGTGTAATCCGTCTTCACTGAGGGGAGGGGGGTGTTAGAAGGGCGCAATATTAAATTCCCTTTATTTCACGTCTTGCAAATGAGATTGAAAATGTACCTCTACAAGCCAGCTACCGTTTGCTAAAAGAGTGGGACTATTTGGAAAATTATAAATTATACAATATGCCTACAACTATACAAAAAAAAGCACTGGTAGAGTGATATATTTACCTTCACATGAGGAAAATCTATTATCATCGATCTTATCCGCATTAAAATAATTACCTATTTAACTGGTAGAGGGAAGTTCCCTTGATAATGGTTAATTTTTTCATGATTAATTTAGTTTTAAGTTAGTAATGTATACTTAACGTATAAGTTATCTATACTAATATTCTAAGGAGAAATTATTTTATTGGTTGTTTTCTTTTTGTTGTTTGCCTCTAATAAACTCTGATCCTTCGAAACTACACGTTAGCCGGGCGAAATTTTGGTAGTAAACGGCTGGTCTGTTATTATCTTTTAATGTACAATATTAAAAATTGAATATTTTGAAAATTTACTGAAATAAACATTACACTTTAACTTATACTTTGTGAAATAGGCTTAATCTCAATAGGTACTTGAAAAAAGCACGCAGTCTAACTTGTTTTTGATTAGTCGGTAATTATCTACGAGTACTGTGGAGGTAGAACAAAAAAGTTTTTTTTCTCTTTAGATACCTAAATAGGTAATGATTTATTTATTTTAACTAACCAATTACACAATTAAAATAAACAGGTAAGTATTTATTGTGAATAATAATGATAGCCGTGCTCGACGCGTATTATCTTGTTGCTGACCTCTGATATTTGAACTTCTGATTTTGAAGTTTATAAAAGAAATACTAAGTTATTGCAAGAGTATTTATTTAAACTTGATTGGACCAATTTTATAATATCCTCTTTGGTTTACCGGTTTGTAGCAGGCATGTTTTTTTATTGTAACAGTGTTAAAACTACCTTACTCACTTTGATTACTGTCACGGGATCACATGAGTTTTAGAACAGCAGACAACTTGAGACTCGCAAGTCTCAAATATTTTTTAAAGCTATTTGCTGTTGGAGACTGAATTCCACAACAAAACGGACGCACCCATAAGACAATTGACAGTTTCCTGAGAATACCTAGATACGTACAGTAGCAGTTCATTCAACGTAGATGTGTGCAAGGGGCCAATTCTACTAAATAAATTTTGTTTAAATCGAATCGAAAACGGATCGAAAACAGATCGAAACCGAACGAAACTACAGTTTTTAATGGTTTATTTTAATGGTAAAATAGAAACCATTAAAAACTGTAGTTTCGTTCGGGATCGATCCGTTTTCGATTCGATTTAAAAAAAAAAATTTAGTAGAATTGGCCCCCTGGTCTATCGAATCACACTGTTGCCACACAATACTTTATATCACAAGGAATCAAAGCAGTAAATATTAACCAATAACCGGCTCTAACCTTTGCTATTGATGCAGATACTTCGATTGATTCTTGTTTGCTACACTCGACTGCCGATATCTAACTGTTACATAAACCACTCACCAGTATGTTTACGGTCAAATGGATGATTGCACCAATTTATCTCTTAAACTCTGGCACGTTCCACGACTCCCCAAGTGTGAATATGAATGAAGCCGATGTAAGATGCGTGCGTCGCGGTGCTCGGCCGCGGCTGAACTCGTTAAAACGCTACCGGTCACAGTTTATATACAAATATACCAACTTGAGATGCTTGTATGACGTTTGTTTAGCTTTCCTGGAAAATATACCTTCTGCCCAACAAAACATAAAGCCCAACAGCGATGTTTGTTTACGACTTGTAAATAGGGAAAATCGCTATTCGATGTCGAATTGTATGAGATCTTATTTCTTGAAATTGTTATCTGGTTTTGTTGCGTTTAATTTCACGAAATATTTTTGTTTATATTTAACTCGTCGGCAATATATTCTATACATAATATACGATAGTGCTAGTCCGGATTTAATAACTATCTGCGAAAATGTCAACTGTCAACTTTCACGGTTCATAAGTAGGTACAGCCTGGGGACAGACAGATAAACAGCGAAGTATTAACAATAGGGTTCCCGTTTTACCCTTTGGGTACGAAAACCTTAAAAAAGTGATGATACAAAGAAGATATATAAAAAAAATATTTAAAAAAGTGCCAGGTACATCTTGTAATTGCGATAATAACGCCTACACTTTTGAAAAAGCAAATACTAATCTAAAAATAAATAAATCAAGTCACAGATTGTAGCTTCATGCAATGAAATTGATAAATATTTAACTAAAGGGTGCTTTTTACTTTTTATTGTGCAAGAAAAACGGCTACAATAGATCGTAGGTAAAATGTTGAATAGTTAAAAAGTGCTTTCAATTAATTTCCTTGAATACATAGATAAACTGAATTTGTCTAAACCAGCCTTCCCCGAAGTGGGCGATAACGCCCCCTTGTGGGCGATAACGCCCCCTTGTGGGCGCTGCAGGCCTAAAGGCGCTGGAAAGAGACCTAGATAAAACATGGGGGCGTTGTGTAGAGACTTGGGGGGTGGGTGATTTGTAATTTCATTTAGCTAGGAGACCTCTTAGACTCCGACCGTATGAGCTCTCGACTCTCAACTACAATTTGTGAACATCAACTAATATTAGTTAAGAGATTGCTCAAACTCGGTTCGATAATTCTCTCCGCGTAGGTCATATATCTATCGTGTCTTATTGAATATATAATGGTTATTAGTACTCCTAGATAGGTATTTTTTTGTAGACAGTACACCGCGGGCAATCTGATTTAACAAGTTTTTGTTAAATAACCCAAATTATGCATTCCTGTATCAATCGGCTTCATATAATACTTGTTCTTACTTGTCGAGTAAGATAAGATAAACGAGTTTATGCATGTTTGTTTTATTTCTGTCAGTGCGTGCTGCTTATGCGATCCTATATAAACAACCGCCTTACCAAAGGCAAATCATTCCACTCCCAAATCGGTCTCACAACCGATATACATATGAGTACACTTAAGAAATTGTACTCATAGAGTTGAATTGAGAATTGACTTGTTTTCAGGTAATCGCACAATTTGCACAGAATTATTACTCCAAGGAATGTTTCGGATAATCTCTGCGGCCGGTTTATGAGGCACAGTAGTTATTACTTCCTTTATTGCTAGCAAAATTAACACGTCTTCGATGTTATGTGGTTTGCTTTTTGAGCAATTAACAAAGAGATATTGTACGAAGCTCGAAGACCGTCGTCTTCTTGCTTAGCAGCCACCAAAAATAGTTTTGCTCCACTTGGCTGAGTATTATGCTCTTTCTCCAGGTCTTGATAATATGCTACATTGTTGTCTTTCTTATCTGGATGCATTTTATTCAAATGGTCTTGAAGGCTTCATTGCTTCATTCCAAAATGTTTTTAGACATATAAGGTACAAAGGCGACGATGGGTTTTTGGGATTTTCAATGAATCCGAATTTAATAGATTCCGCACAGTATTGCCGTCTCTTCTTTTTTACTTCCGACATTGTTTTGTTTTATTAAATACGTAAGAAGTATTGATCTTAAGCAGTTACTGCTTATCTACCTACTCTAGCCATAAATAATCTGACTGACTGCTTACATACATTAAAAAAAAAATGAATTTCGAACATTTGCTTCTACGATAAAAAATAGACTTCTTTCCCGCCATTATTGTATGTTTTTTGTTTAGAAATTATTTGTTTTGAAAATGGAGTGGGGCACTAAAAGAATAGGATTGCAGTAATTGCACTGTACAAATTAGGTAAGGAGCCAGCCGATGTTTTTGATTCATTGAAAAAGCTAGGTATTAGCCGAATGTTTGCATATTGTACCATCCAAAGGTACACTAAAACCATGTCTGTTGATGACCGTGAGAGGTCCAGCCAACCGCGACCTATTCGAACAAAGAGAATTTGTCGAAATCCCATAAGGAAGCAAAAAATCCTTTCCAGAGAAATAATAACTCACCGAGGACACTTTCTTGGATTATCAAACAAGACTTAGGTTAGGGGCTTACCCACAGAACATAGAGAGAGGGCTCACCGGAGATACACAGGACATACAGTAAATCAGGCACTAAACAAAAGAGAGTCGATAAATCGAAACAGCTGTTACTTCGATACGCGGACGAAAAACACAGAAAAATTCTTACAAAAATTATTTACATTCAAAACAAAATGATCGAGTGTATGCACACAGCTCTACAGAAGCTTTCGAGGTAGAAGCCAAAGTTCAGCGCGGCCTTCATCCAGCATACGTCATGGTTTGGTGGGGTGTCTTCTACCAAGGCGTTACAAAACTCCATTGTTGCGAAAAAGAAATGCAAACTTCAACCAAAGTGTATCAAGATACCATGAAACCGTATAAGAAGCGGTAATTAACCTCTCAACAACACCTTACTCAATAACCAGGTGTGGACGTTCCAAGAAGATTCAGCCCTAGGTCATAAGGCGCGCACTACCTAAATTTGGCTTGAGCAAAATGTTCCAGACTTCAAATTGTGCTCTGTTTCTCAAATTGACTCTGACTTCAAATTGACCTTTTGGACTATAAATTGTGCTCTGTGCTAGAGGACACGGCCTGCTCTAAGCGTCACCCAAATATTGAGTCGCTCAAGAAATCTTTAGAGGCAGTAGCAGTGGCGTAGCGTGTCTTGGCGGGGCCCCGTATATAATTTTTTTTTATAAAAACTATGCGAATTTTAACCGTATATACATCGATTATTATGAGATTCTCTCGTTAAAGTCATGACTTCTGACTTAAACGTAGATATCCCGATATAATGTAGATAGATAGCAGCCCGCGAAAACCTTTGTAGGGTATTGCCAACTTTGTAACGCAAGCTTTACGCGTGAAAAAGAAATCGCTTTTTTTGAGTTTTGTCATTTCTGTAATAAACAGAAATATGGGAAGTTTTTATTAATTTTTGTTTACGCACGTTGGGGGCCCCGTATAATTGATATATGGCGGTAGCTAAGCCTCTGGGTAACAGTGACCAAGTTTCCAATTTAAACCGTTTGTAAATCCATCAACGAATGGCCCGATCTGTTTAAAAACGTGCGTTAAAGCCAAGGGTGGATACTTTGAAAAGTTATTCAAAGTATCACCCTTAGCTTTAACCATCATACCCTTAGTATGTTAACGTATCTTTTTCACTCTACATAATCACATATAATATTTAAAATAAAATTATTTCTTTAGAAATTATCGGATATTTTCTTTGTAACATAACTTATGGCTAGACTATGTACCTATAAAAAAACTATTTTATTACTATTAACCTGGTGGCATGAAAGAAATTGGTATTTCCAGTTGTTAATACCCTCCAATCCACATTGGATTGGTGTGGAGGGTCACAGCACATTCTCTATAACCATCTGTAAAGAGGGCCCGAGTCCCTGCAGAGGAGATGTACAAAGGTTGATGATGATGAAAGAATACACAGAAAAAAATTATTTAGATGTTTATTAAACTGAAAATGCTTCAAGAATTTTTAATTTCGTAAATAACATAATTTCAGTAAACTTCATATGGCATCCATCCAGTGCAATTTAAGCTTTCACAACAACACATCTTTCGTTCACTGGTGGCAACTAGCATTGAGTTGCTTGAATGATGTGAACCATACTGAAAAGTTATTTCTGAATGCGGAAGGATATTTTTACAACTAAATATCGCTAACTTAGGCAAAGGTGTGTTTACTCTCACTGGGTTAATAATACAGTTAGGTTCACAGCTGTGGTTGATGTAACGACCAATATTTCCTATATAACTGGGATCTACAAACGTTTGAGAAATACCACTCCCATTGCAATGCTCATTTAAACAAAGTATATAGTTCATGTTTTCATTTACAGCATTGTAATGTTGCCTAGCAAATGCTTGAGCTTTTGTAATAAGTTCACCTGCATATTCACATATAAAACTACCCTTTGGAATATAATTTTCAGTGAAAAGGCCAAGGCCCTTCTCTTTATTTTGACAACTTTTAACATACAACCCTCCAGTTGGTCCATTTTGAACAACACGATTACCACAATTGCTTGGACAAGAACACATATCATTACATTCTATTATTGGGGTTGCAGCTGCGTCTGTGTCTATTTGACAGTTCTTAAGCAACATTTTGCGAGTTTCGAGGTGTTCAATATAATTAGCACCACCAGAGTTATTAATGCATTCACAAGAATCTTGCCTACAAATAATAGCACAGTTACAATTTTGTGTAAGCTGCGAGTTAAAACTTACAATCAATTTTTCATAATCAACAGAGTCTGTAGCTGGACCCGGTACACTCTCTGTTACATAAATTAATCTATTATCAAAATGTGAATAATCATCGTTCATAGTTATACTGTTCTTTCGGTTTTAGATTTTAAATACAATTAAATCCTATCACAGTCCGCCGCGTAAAGATATTTTTTTAACCTTTATGGTGACAGACTTAGTAAGTATCAGACGACCAACTTCCTAACAAAAAATTTCTTCGTAGAACGTGATTGGGAGCCAGTGATACATGACAGATTCATTCGTTTTAAATATTAAGATCTACTATCGGCAAAGGCATTTGGCTATACAGCCCTTTTTTGGGTAGGTACCTAGCCGTCTTCCTATTTTCCATATTATTTTTACTTTAATTTTAATACAACAATAATAATAAA